CAAAAATTTCTTGCATGAGTTGAGATATTACCATATGCTCACAAGAATGCCAAAAAATAAATGCACCCAAACCAGACAATATCCTATTGTATAATGGTCGGATCTTAATACCAAGGAGATGTCTCCTCTGCTGGATATCGGGATCCAGAGGCCGACATCACGTCCTCCATCTGTAGCGTGGATAAAACGCGACAATGGGATGATTGAACGAATAGGGAGAGCACAGACTGTCCAGCCTATCATTTAAGTTCCATATCGCTGGTTAACTTGTTTCCTTTGGATTTGAATATCTACCCTGGCTCCTGACTGTATTAGGACCCTAACAGCAGCTTCGTGTCCTTTTTCAGCTGCTATGTGCAATGGCGTCCGCCCTTGCAAATCTGTGATATTTCCATCGGCACCCCTCTCAAGTAAGATCTTCATAACTTCCACGTTTCCCGTTTCAGCTGCGTAATGCAAGGCAGTGGCCCCTGACATATCATGTTGATTGATCTCTGACCCGAAATCCAAGAGGCATCGCACAATGTTGGCATGGCCGTTTTTTGCTGACAAATGGAGCGCCATTTTGCCCTCAGAGTCGTCTTGGTCCCTGGCGAGTTCTGGATAGTTTTCTGGGCGCACGAGGAAAAGAGAGTTGTGGGGAAATCTGCCAGCGTTCTCACTGTAGGAGCGGAACCGTCGGGGTGAGTCGAATATGTTCCCCCTCCACCCCGGGGGGATCCCAATTATACTGAGGCCATCCTCAGACACAGGCGTTCGCGAATCTGGTACGGTTGGACAAGATTGAGCTACAGAAATACTTCCCGTGTAAGATTGGGCAGCAGGGCTACTAATCTCAGAGTCTGTTCCTTCAAACGGTACGTTAAAATCAGGACTGTTTGTCGCCAGATAACCAGATTTCCTCATGTCTTCTGGGAATTGTGAACTTTGGATCCCGCTAGGTTCAGACGGGAGAGCTGGAATCTCCCATACTTTGGTGGCTATAGCTGTGCTGGAAGCCTCGTTGACTTCTTGGAAATGCTGCCGAGAGTGGGTATTGGTGCTTTCTGTTTGGTTGTCAGGCGACCACAGGGTGGAGGGGAGGCGACACTCATCGTCAAGACTGGGAACATCGCAGTAATCGTGTTTGTTTATTGGATGGGAATGGGAAACGGTGAAGGAACCGAGCAAATTCCGGCATTCCTTTTCTGACGCTTGCTGGGTGAATTTGATGTTATTTCCAAAGTTGGTTCGCGCATCGACCAGCCCTGCAAGGCAGTCTTTTGATTTTTGCTGCTGATAGCCGCTCAACTGGGCTTTCTTTCTGCCTGACTGGTCACTTAGCTATGATCCAAACTTGATGCCACTGGGTTGCGTACGGTGATTTCTCTGAGCAATCCTATTTTGAAGGCGTCTGCGCTCTTTTGCATCAAGTACTTCTCGAGAGGTATTCTCCTCGGGGGTTTTCTCCTCTGATGATTGCCGCATCAGCAGGGTTCGGAGGTTCTGCTTAAATTCGTAAACGAGAAATCAATCGTCGAGGAAGACTAACGAAAAAAAAAAAACGAGATTTAAGCAGATTTTAATTTCTACCCATACAAGCTGAAAAGCCCAAGGTTCGATTTCAACAAACTGAGTTCGGTTGGTTACTTATCAACAGCGTTTTAAGGCAGGATATTTGTGCTGTATCCTCACCTCCAGCTGCCTAGTCGTAGGGAAACTAGTTTCTTGTGACTAGCCATCTGGTAGTGGAACCGTTGAAAGCTTGATATCCCAATAGGTTTCTACATCGTTGGAGTGAGGATTCTCTGTCATCTTCAATATCTCTCCACTCCTTTTTGTAAGTACAGTGAAATTCCCCCAAAACTCAAAGTTTCTCATATCATTAGTTACTTGTCAGCGCTAGAACAAAGGATTAATTACACCTCTTACCTGGCTATTTACGCTGCCACTAAAATAACTCCTCTCAATCAGGCGTTATGTACATATACACCTATGTTAGTTGTGACCTTAGTAACTATAGTATGTGCAAGCACATACATTCAGTACACAAAGAAAATGCATGATTCAAATATAAATTTTTTTTAAAAAAAAAAAAAAAATATCAATTAAAATATGAATATACCAAGTGTGGCAAGCTCAGGTGGAAGAATTCAGCGTTTGAAAATAGTTAGAAGGTAAAATCATCATAAGGTGACTTCATATTACTCTGTCTCTCCTGTTTCTGACTAGATATTTTAGCGGCGGTGTTAATAGTTGGGTTCTGAGTTTCGCCCACCCTTCATAGACTGCATGGAATCCCCCTACATTTGCCATAGTTGGTCGTCCTCTCAAATCGCGTGGGTATTCTCACCATTGTTTAGGACAGATATTGAGAATAAATGACAGAGCTCAGAGACCACCACCGATTTTGAGGACACTGTTTTTCCATAGGGATAGAAACTTCAGTGATTCTCCTCCACAAGTGCGTGTATGTATATTCTAGCCTCATTACCTCAAGGCATGAGAACAATTCCTCCGGAGTGAGGCCCGAGCGTAGGGTAACTATTTGAGCTGGATGATCTGGGGAATGCCAGACCTGCTCGGTTCTCCGCTCGGGAATGACAGCCCAAAATGTCACCTGAAATGTTTGGCGATGCAACCAATGCCACGCAACCACTCATACGACTGGCAAAAAATATGCAGTTCCCTATTGCCGGCGTTTGCAGGGTTTATTTCGCTTTGTTGTTTCACGGGCCCTGTTAACCGCCGAAAATCAACGGTGTCAAAATTCTTCTGGCTTCCTCATCAATGAGAACCGACATTGGGAGATGGGTGGGAAATTCAGGGGATCAAGGCTGAAAATTGACTAATTATTTCATTCGTTTTTGGAGAATTATCTCCCTCCTCAATAGTTACTTATATCGGCTTACTGAAGTAGGGCAGGCGACATCCACTGTGCAGCCTTCTTGCCCCGCATAGATAAATTGCTCTCCACAATTCCTGAGATATCGTTCCCAGTGGTTTGGTTTATGATCCTTATTTCTCTATGAAGTAGAGATTTTGGAAAAGGAGATTATGCATGTTTATATATCCACATGCGCCGTTGCAAATTCATTGGCGGGCTTCTGATGATAGCTGGCAGATGATCTTCATACTTCCTTGTCACTCTCGGCTTAGTAGAGTGCCGAAAGATACCAAGTTCTTCAATTCGTCATTTACGGTTACAAAGTCCTCAAAGCAGGGAAAGGGGTAGTTAAGAGTAGCTGGTTGGCCAAGTTGGTAGTTAACTATTCAAATTTTGCCTGGTTGTGGAAACCTCTGTCATAGAAAATGCCACCACCGGAGAGAGAGTTTTGAAAAAAAGCCTGTTCTTTTCCCACCCCCCATCTGCTGCGGAACTCGGAGGGAAAGGAAGCCTTTATTGATGCCGTGCAATGAAGTTTTTGATTATGCTCAGATCCTTGCATTCATGATGGGGTACGCCCCAACCATCAGTTTCCATTCTCCGTCCGTCTTTTTCCACCCGCGGCCATTCAATGGTGGTGTCCGCGGAACATTGGACTGCCTGCCTCAGATAGTCGAAGCAATGATCAACATGGAGATGACCTAAAAGTTTCTCTTTTACTATTTCCGCCTGAGACACGTCCTCCCGTCGATGTTTGTGAGAGTCAGTTTGATTGAAATAGGCCATGCGAATACTTGCCTGAAACGCTGATGTCAGTAACCAAAGAAGCGTCGTTACTCTTCAAAATATTCATTATTGTCGATAGGTTACTTTCTTCTTCAAGTCAGAGCCGAATATACATACCAGGCAATGTAGCTGGTGATGCATGCTCATGACAAATCGTTCATGAGCTCCATCTTGCAACCCTATCTGTAAACCATAGTCCCGTGGATTATCCACAATGAAAGTATACTGAAAACCACTAAGGTGTTCGGTTTCCCAGTGTTTGTGAGTTTCGGGGTCTGAGCCTTCCCAGCGCTTATCCATTTGGAAAATAACAGCTTCTTTAAGCAGTGGTACTGTAGAAAGACAGAGGGTTTCCTTTCAGCCAAGACACATATCTCAGGGAGCAGGATCTCACCAAACACACTTTCAAAAGCATCGAGGAAGGATTTCACGTACCATTTGGAATAGGGGATTTCCCCCTGCCGTTGCTGACCAGACGGTCGCGGTTCGTCCCAACCAGATATGCTCCCCATATCAGAACAGCGACAGATAGAGTAATTGAGAAAATGGCACAGCCAGAAAGGCCGTGAGTGAAATATTTTTGCTTTGATTTTGACGGAAAAGTGTCCATCCTGATGAACTTTCGGTATGGTATTTCAATAGGCACAATCTTAGGGACTGAAAACAGGGGTTGAGCGAAAGTATATCTCGCATCAAGGGTTGATATGTAATTCCTAGGGAAGAGAGTATCGAAGACTCGACATGGGGCAGTAAAGGCCAGTGGATTCGATGAATGAGGTGAAGACTGTCATCTCTATTGTAAAATTTTTATACCTTCTTTACCCACGCTACATATCCGCCAAGCAAAGTGTGATGCTTGCTACGGTCTCTCTTATGCCTCTTTGTTTCACTTTTGGTGATTACTCTCTGTCCAGGCTGGGAGATATCGGTATTCTTCCGTGCTTGGATAGCAAGGGTTTATTCCGAGTTCATAGCGGAACGCCTGATTTTAAAGCCCGTTGTTCCGAGAACTAAACTAGACGATACAGCTCGGATGCTAATGAAGTTCCATGCAGCTGATTCACACTCCAACTTCACTTTCGATGAACCATGGAGGAATACAATAGCAAAATTAAAATTCAAATACTCAACGTGCACTTTAGTTCAACATTCCATCAATGTATCCGAAAAACTTGGCGGGCAGGATATTCTAGTGATTTTACTTGATGCTGACAGGGTACCCTTCACATCGGAAGATAACTGCTAGATACAATGTTACTCCCCCTAGCTGCCTCCATATCCAACGACCAACTGACCCGAATTCCCCACAAATAGTTTAATCCATTAATCCAACCAAACTTCATTTTGCTTAGTCCTCAGCTACGGCTGGAGGAACAACATAGAAAAAGTATTTGGGCATTGCTTCGGCGTCGGCTCTGACAAGCAGCTTGGGTTCGCCAACCTGTAATGATATCAGCTATGACAACCATTATCAAGGGGAAGCGCCTGCACATACAGGGACGGGAGAGGAAGAGATCACGGTGGCCGTGATGAGGAGAGCCAAAGTGTAAAACGACTTCATTTTGATGGGTGGTGGTGATTTGTTTGGAAAGATTTCCACGAAGAATTGGAGGATTAGAATTGAGCTTTCAAATGGCAGATGGAGGGTGTGTGTTCCAGGAGTTGAAGAAGAGGAAATATCTCCTGTTAAGTAGATTTCCTTCAAGACTGTTACCCTCCGCAGCAATTGATCCATCGACATCATGAACAACAGCAGGGAGAATACCAAGTAGTGTCCAAATTGCTTTTGCTGACAGATTCGATGTCATGCAGTGTCAGCATGCTGATGGCGGATGTCGGTAAGTCTTGTTTCTGTTGACAACCCCGGATTTATACTCAGATAAACTGTTAATTGGGACCGGGGTCCAACCCCTGACATGGGGTTACATTAACGTGGTGCCCCGGACTCTGATAGATATGTCGTCACGATAACAACAAATAGTTGAACAACATAGTCCCATCTTACCATATCCCTTGATTCACCAGCTAATTCATAGCGTTGCGTCAGCGATAATGAGATGAGGAAAACAGCAGAGACCCTCAGCCAGATCTTTGACGCCTTTCCAAGATATGTTCCACTGAGACTTCTTACAGTTTAAAGTTGGACACACCGTCTACCAGCCCCTTCTGTTCAATGTCCAATTGTTCTCGTAGTCGGAATGTCGAATTCGAGCACCACGGACTTGATGTCCGTTTCGGATGAAGAAGAGACTCTCTCTCTTCTGAAAGGAGCCAAAAGTGAGCCGATTCTTCAGCAACAACGGTTCTCTCAACGCTTGTTGTATTTTACGCTGCTCGTTGTTCTGGGGATCTCTGTGTTTTGCAATGTGGTACTTATTTCAGAGCAGTATAAGCGCTGGAATTTGGATAAGATTTGCAGCGTATATACCTCTCAGTATTGTACGTTCTCCAGATTAAGGAATGGTCCGATTCTGGGCAGCCTCTGAAATGCCGAAAAGCTAAATATTGTTCTCTTATCAACACTTAGCATCGCCTCTTTTGAAAGACATTGATATATCGTACGAAACTGTTCACTTCAACGGTTCTTTTACCAAGAAAACGATTTACCGACGACAACCATCACCGGAGGTAGACCAGGCTTGGCATGCCCTTGGTGTACATTGTACGGCATCTATCCAATTTTTGAAGTGAATGTTGTTGCAAGAGATCATGGATCTTCTAGGGCCAGATCTGACGTTTGTCAAAACAAATCCAGATGGTTCCATCGTTATTCCAGAAAATGAGGCAGAACGCTACGGTATTCGAAAAGGCCAGGTAAAAAGAAGAAAAGATCAGGGTGGTGGCTTTTTCGCCAATGTCGAAGTCTTTCATCATCTCCATTGCCTGGTAAGTGGGAAGAACATTAGCTTTTCTTCTTAAAGCATGTGTAGCTAACGAAATAATTTAAGAATTTGCTCCGGCAAGCCTCTCATTTCAATTTTGAATATTACTCTCGAGAAGGGAAAGGCGCCTTTCAAGATCCAGACAACATTCTTGAAACGCACGTCAGTGCGTCATGTCCAAGTCCATTTCGAAGCAGAGCTTTTCTAACTTATAATTAACAATGAGCAGGCCATTGTGTTGACATCATCCGCCAGCAGCTTATGTGTACTGCCGATATAGGAGTCTTCGGACAATGGTGGATTAAAGGGACTGGGCCTTTTATCGATTTCAATACTGCTCATAAATGCCGGAATTTTGAGGACATCAGAAAGTGGGCAGAGAAGCGCCAACAAGAATATTTTAATACAGACAAACCTCAGAAGATGCCTGGAGATATAGTGCTTTCTGAAATACCCTGAAAATGAGACCCCATTTTTGTGCTGTACAATTGACGAATGTTGAGATAATTATCTGATGGAGGGAATAAAATTTATACCCCAATCAGAAGAGGAAAAATTGTTAGCCGGCCTTGACCGGTTGTTACGCTCCGCCTGCTGCACGTGATCTAGATAACCCACATATATAGCATAGCTGGCCTCGTCCCGGATGGGATCACCGAACGAAGAGACGCACGTATGCGATATTCGTCATCCAAAATAAAAGTTGTAATCAAAATACGTATGGGAGGTCGCTAACTAGTTAGTTAACTAGTTAGATAGTTAGGTAATCAACTAAGGCACTAAAAAGCCATGACAAAACCACATTTTTGTGTTAACTAAATCTTAGACATCAGTCACTATTAGTGGTTAAAATATTTAATGAAGACTAGAGACCACCGGGCCTGAAGTTCCAGTTATGCTCAAACCTAAGAGCCCCCTAGGTCAATGCCTATCATTATGAGCGTATACGCTATTCTAGTTTGGATTTAGTGTATATTTAGTGGGAGTCAAAACTTTTGATCGAGACCGCTGTAGTTATCAGCAATGATATTGAGTAGTTAACTACTCATAAAACTACTTACACATAGTTGCTCACTCTTACTAAATCCGACGCATGAACACAAAATCCACTTCTTACGATGTAACTCATAACATTCTTTAATATTACATTAACTGATGAAGACCAACAACTACTCTAAATATTCTGTCTTGTGTAGATACAGCTGAGAGTGCACTGCAGTATCTGTGCAATTAGGACTGGACAAAAACCAATCTGATAGTGAGGTAGTTAGGTAAACTCTGTAAGGAGTACGGAGTTTAAATGAAAATTAATTGCTTGTCAAACTAAGGATGATTCGCGCTAAACTGACACTAAATCCAAATTATTAGAATAGTGAGAGTTTCATGCCTAGAGATAGGCACCTGTCTAAGGACTCTTTAGGCCTTAACATAACTAACTTTAGCCAAGGAACACGTTAAGCTTTTACTAAAGTGATTTAACTAGGAATAGAATGGTAGAGACTAAGTTTAGTTAAGATCCCAAATGTGGCTTGTTCGTGGTTTCTTAGTGCCTTGGCGAGACAAAACTTTGGTAGGTAGTTTTGGGCTTCCATCAATTCAAAACTTGCTGCGCCAAAAAAAAAAAAAAAAAGCTTTTGACTGCTTGTCAAAAGATACCTGGTAGGTGTCAACAACTAATATATATCCAGACGTACACACCTACCCAGCGCAAAATCAACCTTTGATTTCGCGCCTACTCGGTGGTCTTGATTGGCAATAATCTGGCTGCAGTGGTATGCATGATGGTAATTTAGCAATGCCACATGCACATAAACATTCCTTTCACCAGCTCGAATCCGTTTCGCCGCCTTAACCAGGACGCGCCAGTCGTACAGGCAATGTGCCATATGGTATCTCTCCCATGTATAGCCGACAAGATCGTCCACAAGTGTTAATGAATCTTGGGGAATTTCGACGGAATGGTTGTGGCTTGTCCACCATGGGAACGGCCCGCTGCCTCCAACCGTTGCCAGGTCTGAATCCGGTAACATCGATTCTCGAGCAGCGTCCTCATCATAGCATAGACGGGGCAGCCATGCTGCAGCCAAAACATCAAATACGCAGCCGCGGGCAACTGCCTCTGCGCGTGTCGTTCCGCAATCCAAAATCAGGTCTGATTCGGTTTGTAACAATGATGGCGGTTCTTTTGAACCGGAAGTGGACTGGGAACATATGCATTCATTTCGTCTAATCCAACTTCTGGGAGCAAGGACCAAAAGGAGAGCGCCCATGGAGAGCAAGGTTATGAAAAGAGCTGCCCAACAGAAGTGTGTCTTCGACCGGCGAGGTGCCTCTTCATTTTCATCATCGCTTTGATCGCATTCTTTGTATCCGTTATTAGAAGTCCATAGCTTCACCATTTTCAAGGATTCAGGGTACGATGAGAGGGTGGAATATTAACGTCGTTGAATTCAGCAAGTAATAGAGACGTGGAATGAGATGTAAAGAGAGGTTGGAACAATAGAAGGTAAAGCACCCATGCTTTCTGTTAACTTTGACATTGGGATTTCCTTGATAGCCATAGTCAATAAGTTACACTATCGAGCGGTTTGGAGACCCTCGAAGCACATATTTGCTGACACGGCACGCTGACAGGAACGATGCAACGCAGTTTGTGCTGACTCCTTCTCATCAGTCCACTGGTCCTTATCACCCATATATTTGTGTTAAGTTGACTATTGCGGTCAGTGTCGGTATCGATCGGATGGGAGAGGGAAAACGAAATGTCTCCGAATCGCAGCTTGTGGGGCGTCAAAGGTAGTTACATGTTTCTGGAGAATTGTGCCATGCTTCCTAGCTGTAACAAATCTCCGGCTGACTGGGATTCCGTATTTGTTTCATGATATCTTCAATGTATCCCTGCCTAGCCGGCACAATGCTGTGACAGTGCGATAATGTTGCTTGCAGAGTACTTGATTATTTACTCTTAGTTACCATGTAGCGAAATGACAACCTCTCAGATAACGAAGATATTACCACAGTCCCGCAGATGATATCCATCAGCAGACTCATCAAAATTAAAAATAGCAACGGCGGTTTCAATACCGAACGAATAGTGGACGGGAAATCTGGGGCCCCAGGATCTTGGTCGAACTCGAATGACGCCTTTGCCGTGGTTCCATGGTGAGTCCACCCACTGCATCCGGAAATATCAACATACTGCCCCGCTATGTGTCCCTAGGGCCCCGAATCCGAGCGGCCCACCGGAGTTTGAGCTGGGATGATATGTTGAGTGATCTGCCGAATGTGCTCGATGAAATTCACGCTTGTGTGAAAAATGGATAGCAGGCAGAACAGCATACCGGGCAAAAGGTCGGTGATCAGCTCTTCATGTTATCAGCTTTCTCTGTCGGCACCGGGCGGCCCAATCCAATATGCATATCACCATTGAAGAGGGGATGCAGTATCTTTCTGAGTAGCACAGGTAATTTCCTGCCCTTGCTGTCGGTGGTAACTGATGTTAGAATAAATCCTGTGTACTCAGCGAGATATACTAGGACGAATCGCCACCAGTCGAGCCTCCTATTTCCTTAAACTTGGTAATAAGGATGCGATTTAGAACATGTCATCTGTGGCAGTCAACATCCATGGACACAAAATGTGGGATCGTATCTGACGTCACCTCCGAAACTCACATTGGATGTACAACTTCATATGTTATATTCGACTCCAGGTTTACGGGCGAAAACTACATACATTTCCCAAGGATAGGCATGGGCAGTGCATGGCAACATGGATTCTATGAAGCACCTAACCGTCGTTATGACAACCATGTTGTAACCGGTGAAGTTCGGTGTGCCTAATTGATCTTCCTTCTAGAACATGGAAAATATTCTGAAACCAAACTCTTGAGAAATTGGCTATTGTAAGCTGTGGGGCTTGGGGAAATGGGGAAACGGGATGGACAAAGAATATGGGCAGCAATGGCACCAACTCGGAGCTTCAGGGAGACAAACAAGTGAGTCTTTCTACTGGTTAAATGCTCAATCATGTAACAATCGCAACATTGCGATGTTCACTTCTCTATTCTAAAAGATTGTTCTTGACGATACAAAATGCAGTGCTTTCCCCTCACCAAATTAACTAAAATAAAGTGCCGAGCCAACCAAGTTATTGGCGCTAGAAATATACATGTATATACAAACAGCTATCATGCATACCTGCAAAAGTTGCAGCCATGTTGGTAAAGGCTCATATGTTCCTTGCTGCCAAAGAAAGGGCCTAAGTTGTTTTGAAGGATCCACAGTTGACGAGAATCCTGACTCCTGGAATCTGGTTGATCTATGACAAACTCCCCACTATGTAATCTGTATCCTTGGACGCCCGTTAGACCAGGATTTCATTAGAACAGTTGTAGGAAGGGCTGAGCCAGGTTATTTTTTACAGAATATTAAAGAGATAAACCAAAACAGGCTTCAACGTCAAAAGCACAAGCTCATTGGCCCTTGAAAACCTCTTCACGGAATATTCTTATTAATCTTCTTTATGACTATTGCACAATCGTCAATAAACCACCACAACCCAACGACAAAAAAAAAAAAAAGAAAAGAAAAGAAAAAAGAAAGAAGAAAAAAAGACAGCACCGACGGCATCCAAGTGCAGGAGGAGCCCAAGCTTGTTACATGACATTCCGGAGACCAACTTCTCCGGAGTTGGAAACATGTCCCAGATATGCGGTGCGGTGGGGTGAGGATAAATACTCGCCATGGCAGGACGAGGGGATTGCCGCCTGGGCTGCTGGTTGCGGCGAAGAACACTGAAGCAGCTGGAAAAGCAAACTCTGGGAATAATAATTCCGGCAACAGGGATTTGGCAATCCCGGTGGAGAGAACCAGATGAAGTATGGAGCCTGCACCCAATCCAATTTGTCACCAGAATACGGACTGTAAGCTGGTAGAAGATTGCCGTATTTGTTCTGGCGATCAGATTTTTCAGGATAAAAAATAAACAAAAAGCACGCCCTCATTCGCCCGCCGTACAAAAGCGTAGATTCAAATTTTGGAACTCTCAGCTTTTTCTGGGTAATTAGAATGTCAAATATAGGAGGATTTGATGTCATAGGGCATCTTTTTGTTGATTTGAATCCCGTAACTATCCTTGTGAAAGCGCAAAACCCTCCAGTAAAGGTGCAAACAAAAAGAAAACATGCAACAAAATACAACCACACCCAACCACCTAGGCAATTTTCCCCTCAGCGCATGAACATGGATGCATCTTCCCTGCCTGGACACATCGGTTCAGGACTTTTAGACCAAACTCCTTGCTCAACACCAGGGTGCCCTTCACAACGGCTTGGTGAACGGCGGCAGACTTTTAGAGAGAAAATGTATCCAAGGAGGTTGTATGAGTGGAGTCTCTGGTTTTGATACCATTTTGTTCCTTTTTCTGTCTCCTTACTATGATATGAAGGGAGTAAAAGAGCTATTTTTGTATGTTTCTGATGTATTCAGTAGCTTTAGTCATTACTGTCATCATTCATAATTGTGGCGACAATGAAGCATGAAGACGACAACTCCATGCCACTTCCTCCTGTGCATTTGGTCATCTATTCGTCATTTGGCGCTCCCGGAATCCTCAATTATATCTTCTCCACCTTTCATTTCATTAGAAATCGAAGTTGAGAAGAGATTCAAAGGCGGATGGGTGTTGATAGCTTGGTAATTCGTAATCTGCTTCTGTAGATGCAGCAGTGAAGAACTCTAGCATTCTTCTCTCGTCATTTTTCTTTCTTTTCTTTTCTTTTCTTTTCTTTTCTTTTCTTTTCTTTTCTTTTTTTTTTTTTACCGCAGCCAGCTCCTTCATGACTTGAAGTTACCAAAAGAGAGAATCATTGGGGTATGAGGCACAGAAAGAAGCATATCGGTAACACAGTTCACTGTTGTACGCAAGCCTTAGAGGGGGCCGGGCGTTGAACTGTAGTGCTATATTTGAAATAGCCTAGAAGAAACTTCCGAAGATTAAAAGATAGAACGTGTAATGCCGCCGCTCTGATGGTTTAGATCCCATTCAAGACCGGAGCAAAAGGATCTCAGCACCCGCCGGGCCAAACAATGATAGAGTAACTAGAGCTAGCAGAGAGGAGTAACCTCCTGGTTCGCTGTGGATTGGGCCCTGGACAGCACTCACTTTTTGTTTCCATCCTCGATATTGAAACGAAACGAGCGTAGACCTACTCCGTACGTGTTTGCATGTCTTGTTGTAGGGGAGTAATCAGTAATCTCGAATCACGCTGAAAGGTTTTTCAGTTAAAAACCGGATTCACAGATGCTTCCTGTTACCTTGTTGTTATACAGGATGCCGGACCAAACCGAGCAACATGAACAGTGCTTGGCTAAAAACTACCAAGAGAATTGTTGGTTTGCGCATTTCGTACTCGAAATTCCTCCATTTTGCGCTGAAGATTGTTGAATTGCGAGTTGGAAGTTTAGTGGTTGGACAACTAAAATCATGTGACACTTAAAACCAGCCACAACCTTAAATCTAAAAGTACAGAACACTTTTTATCTCAAACGCAACCAACCCATGAGGAGAAGGGAAACTATTAACTAATAGCAGCAATTCGAGAGCTGCACTATATAAATTACGAATCCGCAAAGTGCAGTAATTTCACGAGCACAAAACGGAAATGACATGTAAGTGCTTGGTGTGCCTTTTCAAAACAATCCATGCGTCCAAGATAAATGAGAAGGGCCTGAACGGGGAATATTAAACAAGACGAGAAAATATGCACCTGAATATTAAGAATCTGAAAACGCCGAGATCCCTCACAGCTTATTAGGTTTGCTGGCACTGTCTTGCTTTAGGCGTACAACCCCCTAATTATTGATGTGATGACGATTATCCGTCAGTATACTTTCGACGCATTTGCAATTTGTTGAGGAAGAACTGGGGAAAAATTGGGGTCAAAAGCTCTCACCTCCTGCACGCATGTGAGCAACAGTGTCCCATCCTGAGACCACATCTTCTGCATCACCAAGCCCCGCCCACCGCCTGCCCAAGGACTCGTCATCTCTATAAACAACCACTCATCCGCCCTAAATCCTCCACGCGCGTGGAAGTATATCGTGTGATCCAAGCTGACCATCATCCCCATCTCCCGTTTAGGTGGGGGGGGGTCAACTTTCGAGTCTTGCATAGCCTCAGCGTAAAATTCAGCGGCTTCCTGGCGCAGGAGCTCTTTTAGCGATCTCTCGATCTCCTCACTGTCCAGATCGGAGGGATTTTTCAACTTGGAGATGGCGTGTTTTAGAGCGTCAGGGGACGCGAAGCGCGGGATGTTCTGGACCCGCGCAATGGTACCGATAAAGTAGCTGTCGGACATGTAGGCAAGGGCGGAGAGATGCGCTTGCTGGCCTCCGGCGGCGGAGATGGTGCCGCGGGCGCGGAAAAATTGGTAGATGGCTTTTTCCTCGGCACGAGGGGAGTTTCCTGAAAGAATTAGTCCAGGCTTCGAGTATCTATGCTGAGAGTTTGGGTGACAAAAGAATGCCATGTCTTTCTTCAACATACTATTAACAACCCCAGCGTTTCTCGTTTCAAATGGCCCTTTGGAAGCGGCACTGGCGTTAGCCGGAGGTAGCGCTATGTTCGGCTTCGGCGTGCTATGTTCAACCTTCTCCTCCCCGCCACTCCCCTCGCGGTCGAAACTGATCGTTGTAGTGAAAATGGGTTTCCCTTTTTGTCGTGCCTGGACGGTGCGGGTCGCGAAGGACCGTCCCTCCCGAACCCGTTCGACATGGTATATGATTGGAATTTCTGCGTCTCCAGCCAGCACGAAGTAGCAATGCATGCTATGTGGGGAGAATCCGGGGCTAACGGTCAATTGAGCTGCGGCTAGGGACTGGGCGATGGCAGCACCGCCATAGATTCCACGGGCAGCGGGTGGATGCCATAGTGGACGTGTGTTTGTGAAAACATCCTATATATGGTTCTCTCCGGTTAGCATTCGGCTCTGCACGATGGTGTAGCAAAACCCGAACAGATCATTTGTTAGGGGGTTTTTATGGGATGAATCTTACCGGTCCGAAATCAGATACGGGGGTCAGCTCTAGGATATTTTCTATCTGAGATTTTGATGGGTCTTCCGGGGGAGCTTCAAAGAGCGTGACCTGCATGGTTACCCGTATCGCAACAGGAAGGGGATAACGAACGGAAAAGCTGGTGTGTACAAGGGTTAGAAGAAAGAATGTTGCTTTCCCGAAGAACCATACAACAGCTGCAGATAAGCAAAGCTCTTCTGCCGAAAGAACAAACGAATCAAAAAAAAGAATGATAGCAGGAGAAGATCAAGTCATCCAGTAATTTAATGCCGCAGGATGAAACTTTCGTCTGCGCAGCGCCCACGCGAGAAATGCCGAGGTCCAGCTGCTTGCAACTATATCCACGGTCTGGATCCTGTTTAGGCATAACAACATGAATTTAATCCACATTATGATAAATTGATGGTTCCTAAGGGGAGAGAAGTTATGCAATCTATGGGCTATCAGACAGATATCAGATCCGAAACTTTTTGTATGATATCAATGCATACTTATGATTATTCTTCATTGGAAGTTAAACTATCCATGTCCCTGTAAGCCGCACGGTAAATTAAAGCTCGCTCCACCCCTCGTCTGCGTCTTCTTCAGCCATCCCTTTACAGGGTCTGTTCACAGCTTAATCTGAGAATATTCTAGGTTTTGACGAGAAATGTATGCATGAAAAACGGATCATTTTGGTATTTTTACATTTTTCTGCTTATATACTTCCTATTTCTAGAATATTTTAACTAAATTTCAGGACGGTTCATAAATGCCATATAACGTAGCTAAAATATAATCCCCAGATCCGGACAAATCGATGACTGACCCTTTATTCTACCATTGGAATACCTTGCCGCCTATGGGGTCTCCACAAAATATCAAATTTGTCTCCAAAATGATATCATCTAGAAATTTACATATTTCCCAATCTCGAACGGTCTCTTATTTCTTTGCCTTCGCTTCAATATCCGCCGAAAAAGAACCGTTTCCCGGCGGCAAAATCAGGTAATCCTACCCGAAAACCCCGGGGAAACAAGTCAAGGGCCCAGGCAATGTTTAACTTAAACAACCAGGTAGTTAGAGAGTTAACCTAAAGTTGGTCAACTAGTTATAGTTAAAATTCAGGGCCGCTAACTATTACTTGATGCTCAAAGTGAGGTTGCTGGTTGGTTCCCCGGCCACGAAGCAGAAGACCCCGACCTCCGCTGAAGCACCCTGTTAAGGGCAAATCCTACACTCGCCCTTCCACACGGCTCAACCCATCGTATATTTGACGCAAGTATCATCTCAACTGATCTCATCCTCCTCATCATCCCGCATTGAGCAGTCAGAGTTCCTATCCAATCACATTCACAATCAGATGTCATATATATTCTTGCATCTGCTTCAGAATGCTTCTGAATCGATTGATTAGACCTGAAAGACTAGAGAGATCTTCTTCAAAGTTTTCCAGGAGGCACATCTCTGTCTCCTTTGATGATGGGAGCATTCAAATGATAGTACCGTGCTGGAAGCTCCTGCCTTGGGTTAATCATGTTGGGAATACTTCATAAATCATGCACAGTTTGTAAATCCCATTCCGCAGCCAGAAAACTTCTCATGAACAATCTGGTTTGGCTTAGCAGCTTCCATATGAGAATATCAGCGATTTTCAGAACGGTAGCCTAGCCTATTGTTCTTGTCTGCGCCCAGATGACAGTTGCGACCTATTATAAGCTGAATGATTGTTACCCCGGTGCGCCTGTCTCTGACTCCTCGATCTTACAAGTTCGGGTTGTCCAGCTCCTTCGTTGAACATACACAGCTGTGAGCCGCCGGTTCTCATATGCATGTTGCCGGTCCTGGAGACGTCAGTCTTGTTGAGCTAGTCTATAGAGTCCCGGGGGACGCTTTCCTGAGACTCAGCAGAGCTCTGCTGCAGCTGACCTCCAAGGCACTGGACTTTTTCAGCCATGTTTTCCCAGTTCAATGCTATCATTCTTTCTGCGATGTCAGTCGTCACCGGCTATGTAGAGCGATAAGATTTTTTAAGGGATTCGATGGCTGATGGGCTAGGGATGGGTTCAGGGGCCAGAGGACGTATTGAGCCGGCTCAGAGAAACAGAGCCTGCGACCAGAGGGGGCATTCCTATGATTTCAAGAGTGGTTTAGTTAATAATGATTTCAAGTTAATGAAGCTCAGATCTAACTAACATAGGAAATAAATGTTACCCGCATTAGACGCTGATTTGTTCCTTGCTTGACAGCTTGTGTAGCAATATTCCAAACTGCTGGTTTGGAATTGCTATTGTCTGTATTCAGATCTTCTCTTTTTTCCCTTCAGAAGCCTTGTAAGCAGAGCCTTTTCCATCATGAAGTTCCATGTTGCTCTCAATCATTTAGTAATGATTTGAGAGACAATTTAAGAGGCTGTTTGATAATCAGTTAAGAAGTCAGGCCAAGTTGAAACTGAGCATCATCATTCGAGTATTGCATTGTCATTCTGTAACATCTTTATTTCCTGTTTTCGTGAATTCAGCTAATATATACATGCAATATAATCAAGATCTCGCAGAAATAAGAAAGGCAACGTGTCAGGCACAAAGATTTTATCAACCTGTTGCACGATCAAGAAAATCAAATACGATATAGCGGGGGTGGCGCTGAGAACAACGCCAGCAACGACGCTATATTCGTTGTTTACACTATATAACTCTAATATCCACACTTGCATGCGAATTGTACGAACGCTCTGAAGAGGCCTTTAGTGAGGTCAGGTTTTGAGCGTACATGTTCCCGGCTAATCGATAATTGAAATGACTGAACATCGGGATTATTCTGCTCCTCCGTTTATTTGGTTGCCGTCCCCTCCCCTCCCCTCCCCTCCCCTCATTTACATTGGAATCCTGGTTTAGGGGGTTGGGGAAGACTTATCTTACGTATATACACATATCTATATCTATATACATGTATAGGAGGACTTAGTTTAGGAGGACGGCACCTAATCATTGTGGTGCTGATATATGAAATAAACTTCTCATCGTTCCCTCTGCGCTATTCATTCAGACTTACATAAATAGAAGCATAAACAGAACAAAATTATCTTTAGGAAAACCAAATGACCATGGCTCCCTCCTTTGTCAAAGAAGACAGACCTATCAGCAGTGCTATCGTCAATAAAAATGAGCCAAAGCCTGCCATCATAGTTGAACAGGTCCAGTTGCGCGACCGCACTGTGACTGGCCAACAGCTGCATATCAGACAATACCCGAAGTTCGATAGTCTGGAAGAAGAGCGACTCTACCGCAAACAGCACCTCGCTGCTGCATTTCGGGTTTTCGCTGACCGTGGCTTTTATGAGGGTGTGGCAGGCCACATCTCTGTAAGGGATCCAATTTTGACTGATCATTTTTGTATGTTCTCTGCCCCTTTTCGTGTTGTCTTTGATATTCGCTTAATTTTCCCCCTACTCCCTGGTATTCTTGTTGTAGAATCTGGAGAGAGTTGTTTTAAAAAGGGGGTTGCATCAGGAAACGGCGGGAAAGAGGGCATTATACATATAAAACCAGCCATCCAAACATGCAATTCCTTCATAATGACAAAAGGAAACACAATATACTGATCCAAATTCAAAATAAACGGAATAAAAGGGTTAAACCCACTCTCCCAACATTTCTCTCAAATATCAGTTTCAGACCTCATCCTCGTCAACGAAGACGGCAACGTTGTCATCGGCACCGAACCCATAAACAGCGCTGCCTTTGCCATCCATTCAGAAATCTATAAAGCCCGGCCCAACGTCAATGCTGCCTGCCACGCCCACAGCGTCTACGGCAAGGCTTTCTCCACCTTCGGCCGCGAGCTAGACATGATGACCCAGGACGCGCTACACTTCTACAAATCCCACGCCGTCTATCAGGATTTTCGTGGAGTCGTGCTGGACCGTGAAGAAGGGATTAATATAGCCATGTCGCTGGGGGATGGAAAAGCGGCCATCTTGCAAAATCATGGCCTGTTAACGGTGGGTGAGAATGTGGATGAGGCAGCGTTTTGGTTCATTAGTTTGGATAAGACGTGCCATGCTCAGTTGTTAGCCGATGCTGCGTCGGCGGGATCAGGGTATAAAAAGATTATGGTTAGTGAGGAGGAGGCGGAGGCTACTGCGAAGCTTGTTGGTGGACCAGATAAGGGATGGTTGGCGTTCCAAGGGTATTATGATGAGCAGCTTGCTAAGACGAACGGGTCGTTTTTGAAATAGGACCATATCTGTTGATTCGCCGTTCTGACATGGTGTTCGTCTTTTCTGTTATTTTCGTTCACTTGGTTTTCGGCGGGGTGCTGTGTTCGTACTATTGCACCTTGCTTAAGGCTGAGAGTGAACAAGCTTGCTGGAGAAATCAGGCGACAAAATCATAGCCAGAAGTGCCTTCGTCACTATATTATCATTACATATGGGATAACCTTTCTGATCAATGTTAAATTGCAATTATGAGATAATTTTTCGCCATAGTCGTGTCTTTCCTCTGTGAAATCATCTCTTCTTTCTGTTGCAAGAAATAAAGTAAACTTAAAGATCCTCGACATGGTCGATTGTGGAGATTTCGAAACGAAGAATTGCTGTCGCCGTGAGGATAATGGATATTCTGAGATGGTGTAACGGTTCGGATGACGCGAAATTTTGTCAGAGTTTTCGGGCCTCTGCTGGGAGATATGTAAATCCGGGATTATATCTTGATCCAAGTAGAACCAAGAGTTGAAAATATAAAATGTATATAGGAAAACTGCGAATTGATGATTGGAAATAGACAGAATGCGCCAGCCGGGATATCGCTAATAACGCTGACAAATAGGAGATGAGAAACGGAATGAATCAAAACGGGTCCCTCCAAAAAATGATTTAACGCAGAACGCCCTTCAACGCCCTTTAACTATCTCCAGAAAATTATGGAGATTTCTAGAGATAAATATATCAATGAATCGACAAAGTAGATGGAGCGAGTTAAAGGTCGCCCAGCTCAACAATGCTCATCCTCGTCTCTCGCGCTCCGTGTGTTTTAGAGCGCGGCATTCCGGAAAGGGCACCTTTTCGAATGCTTTTTGTAGGAATTGATGATCTGTTAAATGCCCTGCCCGGATCGTACCCAGGTGGGGGAGAAGGTGGTAGACCGCGCGGGTATGTCTGTCGGTGGGGTTTGAGTGTTGGTTCTTCGTATCCATCAACCCCTGGATCTGGTAGATCGATGCGGAATGTGCTCTGCGATACTTCAGGGCTAGGCGCCCGGTCAGCATCTTGCTGGAGATAAAGTCGTAGAAGCTGTCTTCGTTGCAGCTCTGCGTCATCGATTGAAGGTTCTCCGTTGCGCCCCCGGCGGAAGCCAAAACGCCGTGGTATAAAGACGACGTTGTGAGAGTTGTAGATGGCCGCAATTCCAAATGCCGCTGCGGAAAGGGTGGAAATAATAACGGCAGCGATAGAAAGGCTAGTAAGTGGTGTTAACCGTCTGACTAGAATATTTAAAGCAACGTTGAAGACACCTATTAGGCTCGACCCGAAGCATGGTCTGATGAGGGGTTCGGATCTCAGTTAGTACCAAGGTTTGCGACGGGAAGGTTCCCATCTTTGCATTCCAAAGTTCGCGGATCGCAAAGCAAAAAAAACATGAACGTCTGAAAGGAGTGAATTTACACACATGAATACAAAATCGACCAAATAATGTTTCTTCCTCCATCTCAAACAGAAACCTATGCAAACCAGGTAACCAACACAAATTAGGGCGGTGGCAGTAGCAGTCAAGGAAAAAGTGTCACCACGCATATTTTCTGCATTATGGTCCATCGCAAGAGGGAAGACGACGAAACTAGATAGGGCAAATGTGTTGAACTGTTAGTCTCATAGCTCCATTTTGCCGTTGATGGGCGGTTTAGTCCAATATACCCAGCCAGAAGTAGCCATGCCGAGATACTTGCTAATAACTTCCAGTACCAGCGTAAGTCCTCCTCGAGGATGCCTAATGATAGTCCCAGCTCTGAATAGCGAGGGGAGCCCATGGTTACGAAGGGTCACTGCATTGAGAGGGTAAAAGAGCGAAATATCGCTAATAAAGATAATGAATGCGAACTCTAGAAAAAGAATGACGTCTCAGCGGAATGAGAAATTGTGGGGTGGTGAGGTTGGATACGCTGGCTCAACATATGGAGGTCGGATCCCTTTGCTCAGGGCGAAACAAGGGAAGGGCTTCGAAGATATGACGGCAGGGCTTTGGTAGAAGTTGTTAAATTATTGAAAGATAACAGATGCGAAAAGGGAAAAGCAGCTGTATTGAGAGAAGTGTGAGACGCTTGGGTTTGAAAACAAGACACGGACAGAAGAGAGGGACAATAATGGAGACGAGACGCCCAGAACGACAGTGCAGGACAAGGCTCAGGGGCCAAGAACCATTCAGTTCAGCACTGTAACTATCAACCAATCAATCAATCAGGGTAATGATAATGACACGAGAGTGAAAGCGACAATAACCCTGGTTGGCTGGGAGGTTGTAAAAAGTTTTGCGCTGCCGTAGTGCGGATTTGCCTGTCTGCTAACGGGGGGATTGCGGAATGTCACAGACCCGGGGCCAAGAGGGGCTGGGGATGAGAGTTTCGGGAAACGAAGTAAGGAGTGCAGCGAAGAGGTAGCCGAAAACCCCATGGACAGTGGAAGAGAGTCACTTGGGATGTTGAAGAGAGGGTGTTGTTATGATTGATAATAGATGGCGGCCTGGGGAGAGAAGAGAATATAGAGAGGAGGAGAAACGAGAGGAGAAATGAGAGGAGAAAAGGGCAGGTTTAACACACAGGAATGTGCTGCAAGCCGCGTGGTGGTCAAGGAAAAAGAAATAATGAAAGAAAAGAAAAAGAAAAAGAAAAAGAATGACGATCCTACTCAACAAAGAGATGAAGTGCTCCGGGCTGTTGACTCTTTTCCTGTGTCGCCAACCTCGAGGCTGAAGTAGACTGGGCTGTGTTTTTGCTTTTGCTCTGCTTTGCCTGGTGTGATTTTATTTATTATTTTATTTCATTTTATTTATTTTTTCGATCTCCTTACTGCTATCCTCGAGGTGAATCGGAATCATCATTTGATAAATGAATGAGATTTCTACATCATCGAATGATTAGAGAACAAACTTCTTCGGCGTCAGTGTTGTCTCTTAGTACCGCTCATTAAAAATTCGGCACATTTTCTGCAAGGCAGATTCAGTGGAGCCCTTAATTACTTAACTAAAACAGCACCTAACATTCTAGGCTTGTTCGGGGCTGACCAGGTCTATGTTTTAACTAAATTTACTCGCATCCAGCGCCTCGATCACCATTCCGCGCAGATCCCCCAGCCTATTCCCTTGGCTTTGTTGTCGGTTATGATTTCCGGACGAGCTAGAACCTTAGTATAGTGGCCCTATGAAAGATATTTTCAACATTTTCTCTCCAAATTTCTAACAAGCATGTCACCTGCAACCAACTTACTGTGTGCCTCCGGTTCTTATCTCATTCGCTTTCTGTCTCACTTGGAGTCAATACTCCTCCGGGATTCTCTATCCGAGTACCTGTCTGCAACTTCGCAGGCTGTTGAAGGGACTCACGCTCTCAGGCTGCCGGGCTGGTTTATCGTATAACACTGTGGCACAGCTTGCTTGGCTACACCGCAGGAGATATCTGCGACAAAGCTGCCACAATGAGTTCCCCTTCCGCTTCTACTTTCCCCTCTATTCTCCCCTGGTCCTTGTCATACTTTACTTCCACCGTGGTGTAAGTAAAGCGATAAGTGAAATTAAGGCTATGCCGATCATCGCCCCGACGCCATTCCTGATATGGTGACATGCTCCCCTTCCTGCTAGTATAAATCCGTGTTCTTTAATCCTTACGCAGGGACTGCCTAAAATGCTCTTTGCACCGACAACAGTGTCTGATCTGCAAGAGTTGGCAATTTGGCTTTGGAGATCTTGAGGTTTTAAAAGCCCACTACACTCCCTATCGCTCAATTCCTCAACAGCTTTTGCCTCGGGAGGTGGAGTAACCAACACGATCGCAAGCCCTTGAATTTTGTGCAAGTAACAAGTGACACGAAGTTTCACCAATGTTCCCGAGCTTGGGATGTCAGCACAAGTCTCCGACATGGCGGCTGAGCCAGCACCCAATGGAGCTTAGAGAATTCCGTGAGAGAAGTGAAAATGTTCTCAGCTTTTTCGTCGCAGCCGTTACCTGGTACAGGCCCATATCATGGTATTCTCTTCAAAACATCATAATCGTGTTTCTCTAAACTGTAGTTGCTCCTAGACAACAGATCAAATTACATCTAGAGCCCATAGGTCCCAGCATTTTCCCTGGGGAGGAATCAGAAAATGAGAGAAGCTCGCGAGTCCTTGTATTCATCCGAACTGGTGGGGAGGTGCTATTCACAGGGACTCTTCACATCCGCCACCAGGGGGAAGAAAGACCTTTAATTACGGAGTAAAAGTCTCCCAGTTTTAAGCTTCTGGCCCGATCTCATCATTGTCCGTTTTGGATCGGATTTAAATGGACTTCTGGAAACGAGAACAACAAAGAGACCAATCCATTTCCATTACTCTGAAAACGGGGATAAGCTGCATTGGAGAAGGCCCAAGGCAATGAGGATGGATCATTGAAAACCTGGTGGATAGATAGAAGGGCAGGTGATCCAAGTTACGGACAAACCAGCTCTTTCTTTCCAGCAGTTTCTTCCATGATGGTGATTGATGCGGTGATCTTTGTTGTACTGTGCACAAACTAACTGTCATTTGCAGTCGCAAAAAGGACCTGTCCAGAACTCCATACATATCTTGCCTTCACTCTAGTTAGCTCTATACGCCTTACATGATGCAAGCCACAAAAGGTGGCTTTTGATAAGCTCGCTTATCCCCATAACTAACTAGTTACAGTGTCGATTTTTCTTTGCCCTACGCGCGTGGTCCAGACACGGATGCGGGCACACCCTCCCTGTACCAGGCAGGGACCTTTCTACCTTGACCAAACATTTGGGGGCATGGATAATACCGAAAATATATATTAACCCCGCAATATTCCTTTCCCTTTGACAACGGTCTTTTATTCGCAGGATTCCTTTCTCCTTTGTCTCTTGCTCCAGGAAGCCTGCATATTTTGTGGTGGCTTCCGATTTAATTGCGACTCCTTGTTACATTCTTCCAAAAACCTTTTAAGTCACATGGATGCAGGAACCATCTTGTGTGATGAAATGATCAAGATGTTATTGGACAGGTCGCTGGAGTCGGTAATCAGGTAGAATTTGGGTGTGGGTGGTGTGGGGGGAAAGACAAGATATACGTCGCTGTTGTTGAATGGGATACGCAACGTAACGCAGTAAGAGTGCCGGAGCCTCTGCAGCAGGATAGCTTCGACCCTTCTAGTCCTGCCACTTTTTTGGAGCTTCTCATATTAATATATCAAATTTCCGAACCCACTTTTTGTTTGTATGGATGGGATATTCAAGCATTAACCTTGCCTATCGATTGGACTGGACTAGACTCACACACACACACTCTCTCTCTCACTCACTCTCTCTCTCTCTCTCTCTCTCTCTGTGTGTGTGTGTGTGTGTTGTTCTATCCCAATTATCAGTTATCCCACGGACCCACTTGTAATAGGGGTTGAAATGAGAGAAAGCATTGAAACCATCCCACAAACTTTGAAAAGTTCAGTTGTCCATCGCTCATATCTCTTCCTGGTCCACTATTCATTTTTCTTTTGCTTCACTCTTCATCTCCGTGTGGCATCGAACTAAAATCCGCTCAATTGCAAACTACGCAGAGTGATAGGTAGTAATTAACCGCAACCAAACCCGAACTCAAAACCCAAAAATAATCTTAAAAAACTAGTTAAATCTCTCGCTGCTCTTCACATAGTTAGCCCTTGTGAGAGTCTGAGAGAAATGAATTCTGTATGCCAAGCAATAGTCTTCAAGGGGTCCTATCGTCTATGATACCTACCTGGCAGATATGTCTTCTAATTCAATCTTTGATCCATTCGTTTATTACTATTCCGCATTCAAAATGCCGTTTTCGTGTGCATTGCTGTACGGTAGTTAATTGGATTTTTGGTGTCTCGGAGGCTTTTGCAGGTCTTAACGTTGTTAACTAGTCAATTAGCTACGTGCAGTAGTAGTTAAGTTAATAATTTGAAAACTTAAGCTTTAATATGTCCATTGTAATGTTTGCAAAGTGAAGGACTTGAAGATTATACCTCAAAATATTTTACGTGTTTGGATTAAGGAGTATGTGGAAGATGAAATAATTGTAGAGCTACAGAAGTAACTATTTCATTGATTAGTTCTTCGCATTATACGGACATACGGAGTGGAGAGCAATACATTTGTAAATAAGAAATCTCTATTATCGAAAGAGACTAGAGTTCCTAGCATCAACTTTGTTTGTTTTACCACCATTTCTGACATAAACTGAAGGGCTTTGAGATCGAGAAACCGACTAACAGGTATTTTGCTTGAACCTGTAATCCAGGGAAGAGGGAATGCTGCAGCGTTGCATGCTGGCGCGTATTGCTGCATGCTGCCATATACATATGCGCTGCTGTGCCGGAGGAAAGTACTTGGCGGTAAGGAGGAGTGTTTAGACACATGGAAGAAGGTTCAATCGAATTCGGTTGGCAACCGGAAGTTTGAGTTGTGATTGTTTGGTAACTAGCTAGTAGTTGGTTTAAATGTGTCTAAAATGTTGGATATGTCACGAATTCAATCAGCCACAATCTGAGAGATATTGTCATGTTGAATAGCCGTTCCCCCGCATCATTCCTGAATTGGGAGACCCTGTGAGTGAAATTGGTCACTTAAACTAGTTGCCATTCCACTCCCAGAACTGCATATTACAAGTCAGTTCTTGTTAGTTATCCCGTGGATAACGCGTCTATGGGCTATGACATCACCCCATATGTTTATGCCAAAGAATACTCAATCATTCTGCTATCGCGTGTTCGGGGTCAGTGTTCATTTGGCCATTTTCGGCTATGTATCAGATGACTATATAACCGGTCAAGACGGGAAATGGGATCCGTTAGAGCTCCAGGAACAGGGGCACTGGCTAACTAACTATATCCCAGCATTTGAAAACGCGACAAGCCCTCCTCTGTTTCTGCTCGATCACTGCTGCCTACGCGCCGATCCCCAAACAAAAGATTAACTGCATTTATATCTGTTGGAAAAAAAAGAACTGCTCAGTTGTGTGGTAATGCACAGTTGTATCCAACGGATTCTTATTGTGTTGAATTAAATGATATTTGATATATAATCTTTGGTTTTTGGTGTGGTTATAACGGAGCTCCTGTCACGGATAATGAAACGGCAGAGAAGTGTGGAATAAACGAAATTCGCGTTGATTCTCCTTTGAGTTTGAAAGAGACAATCCGTGATGTGGAAGTTGCCCGTAGTTCCGACGCGTATTGTTATTCAGCAGAGGAACTGGGTGAGCAGAACATGATGCGCATATCAGAACAATGTTTGCTTTTTCGTTGGACGGTTTTGTAGTTGATCCTCAATTAGCCTCTCGGTAACTACCAAAGCCGACTCTTGTAACTAGACGTAATTATCAAACTCTCTCTTCTATTTCCTGCTCCGATTGGCGAACCGTCAGATAGCTAACAAGGAAAGGGATGTATTTGACTATGTACATTGCAAAGCATCGACCCAATCTGAGCCCCATAGTCCCATTCTTGAAATACATCCCGGCTTGTTCAATCACCAACATTCCCTACCATCTCACGAGCCTCTCACCGGAACACGCGTTGAAAATGTGACGATCACTAGGAAGCTCCAGCCCAGTAAACTTTGAGAGTAAGCCGATACTGAGCCACGCAGGCACCTGCGAGTAAGATTAACTAGGAGATATATGGTTCTCATTCGGGAGAAAATAGAGTAATCGATATACCGGAAAGACTGTGTGTCATCGACCTCAAAAATATCGTTCTTTCTTGTGTCACGTAGTAACTTATCCAGCAACACCTCGGGCCAACCTGTATAACCTCCTGAATGTCCAAAGAGCGAGCCGTGAGCACCAATACAAAGGATTTTTGGGGATTCGAACTAGAAGGAACTGGCCAGTATTTACAGTCTTATTATTATAACTAACGTAACTACTGATCGAGATGCCGCCTTTCTCCTCTTGTGAAAATAGGAGTAATAAGGAAGAAATTCTGTATAGTTCACGATAACAGGACAGGGCCAGTCAGCATTTGGTTTTAGAAAAAACACTGAAGCGCCATGCCGGTTTCTACCTAAGCCCCAACTTTTCATATACCTACTGTGACTGGTGCTGTATGATCGGTTCGATCGTCTGGTCGATGGGAGGTTTTGGAGAGTAACCGGAATATATAGTTATCGTAGATGAATACGTCTTGAAAGATGATGCGAGGGTAAAGTTCCATTTCCTAGTCAGGAACATACGTTATGTTTTGTTCGTCGTTACTTACTTCGTTGTAGCCACTGGTAATAAAATCTATATCCAGCGTCTGATTGGGCTTGGGTGCTGGGATGGGGTGTTGGTGGTTTGTCCTTTCTCCACGTCCCTGCCAGCACCTATCAGAAAAATTTCGCGATCTGTCTTCTTCCTCCTCCTCAGAATTACGGTCCGCTTCCTTCTGTTGATGTAGGTGCTGACAGAATTTGCTGTTTTGTCTAATATGCTGACCATACCGGATGGATGCAAAAGGGATGATAGACATTCCCAAACTAGAGAATGCTAGCATTGTGCACGACCAGCTTACTCCAAGGCGATTAAACATGTGGGTCGTAGCAATAGGAAGGAAAACCACAAAAATGCTGTGGCAGCAACTGGCTGCGGAGTTAGCACTGGAGGAGAATGTCTCGTACGCATCGGAAAGGTAGTCTATATCACTGCCATAAGAATCAGCATAAAGCCTGCTCCAAAGGATATGCCGGATAGCATAGGAACAGCCCAGTGGATGTTAGACGAGGAAGTCCAACCCAGCCAGAGTAGAGCAATAACATATAGTGGTCCGCGATGCAGGCGAGCGGGAGGCACCTGTATTCTTCGATGTTTGCCCAGCTAGCACTTCTAGCTTTGGCCTTGGAGAAGAAAGAATCCCACCGTGTAAATACTGGACAAGCCAAGAATGCACCCAGGGCCCGCAGTGAACAGTTAAATGACCGATGCATTAATATCACAGGATTGAGGTCAGACCTCCGTTTAGTTATCTCTTCATAAGTCCATGGGTACCACTTGGGCCCCCACCTCCAAATGGCGGGGGGAACCTTCGCTAGTTTGCGAAGATATCACTGATATTCAGCAGTTTTTCCGGCCAATTTTCATCAGTCTCCCATTGGTTTCATTTCGTTCCACGGCTCATTTACCCATCCGCATTTGTAAACCACAACAGAAGGGTATTGAATACAAGTTAAAGCTTCATTTATCCGAGGCTAAAGAAATGAATGGTCATCTATCTATCTATCTGGGATAATAAGCTTTGCAGCTCCATCTAACTCAAATAGACTCGATGAGGTAAAACACCCAGGTTCTTCATTATCGAATGTGTTTTGCATGGTGAGAGCGACTCCTTAAAGTTAAAATCAAAACCGGAGGGAATCTTTTGCAGCCAGCTCACTAATGAGTTACATAGACGCCCAAAATCCCCGAATATATGCAGAGGAGTGGATAGGTGTGCGACTATCAAGAGCCAATAAATCCAGAAACCGAGTGCCACCGAGAAAGTGTAAATACCACTCATTCGACTGAGGAGACGTTAGGTTTGTGCTGCTGTGACGGATGTGGCAAGTGTACAGAGGGTGTGGGTTCGGAGACCATTCCAACATGTCAAAGGTAAGAGTAAGTGGGGGATGGTGGGGTAAATAAACTCGGGTGTAATAACCGTGCATGGAAAAAAATAGAAGTGAGCTTGACAATCCAAAAGGTCTGATCGTTTCAAAGCGATTATAGACCTTAATCGGGATGCAAGCAAAAGAAGTCCTACGGCCGACACGGAATCCTCAAGTAATATCACCTTGTGATAAACGGGTCAACGCTATTTGAGTATGTGCAGATCAGAATTGTTAGGATGCAGTCACTCATGACATGAATGCTCTTACATCCCAAACAAAGACTTTCTCATCCCAACCACAGCTTGCACACCATCCTTCGCTGCCGAAAAGACACCAATCCACTCCAGTAGCAAACTCTGTATGGCGTCCCATGCGTCCTAGCTCTCTGCCCATTAAGGGGCTAGTATTCAGTCCACTCCGCATGAAGTCCACATCACCACCTGCCAGCCCGGTATCAGACCTATCGCTCCAAATGCGACAAGTCATGTCGTAGCTGGCGCTGAGGAGAATGTGCGAAAGATGGGGTGACCAGGAAATCTTTCGGATGGCATAGTCGTGTCCAATCATGGCAGAAAGCGGACCCTGTTGTGGAGAACGGATGTCAAAAGTACGTATCATGCGGTCCACACCAGCTGTGGCCAGTATTGAGGGTCGGTACTTGTTCCAGTCAAGTGTTAAGGCCTCCGACGGGGGACATGAAGCAGGGGCAGGTGGAAATCCCGGTTTTGTCGGCACTGATGCTCTCCCATGAATTGGAATCTGTACAGTAAGATGGTTGTTTGCGGCGGCCGGAGTGCGTAAATCAAAAACGCGAACGTACGAGTCTGATGAAGCGCAGGACAGGATATCTGGAGAGTGTGGTGAAAAGGCGACGGAATAGGTGCAGCTGTGCGTGGGGAGAGTTAAGAGAGACTGTGGTCTCGCCGGAGACCAAATTTTGACAGTCCCATCCCAACTGCTGGAGCAAAACCGGTCTTTGGCTACTAAATTCCAATGCACTGAGAAAACCTCCCGAGAATGCTCTTTCCATCCCTGAACAGGAAATTCGTCTACTGTGGTGTCGAAGAGCTTAATGCTTCCGTCGCCGGAACCCACGAGGGCTTGATTTTCATGGATCTCGGACCATGCGATATCGTACAGAGAGTCTTGCGTTGTGAACCTGGATTAAACGTCGCCGTTAGTATCACGTACATCTTGCTTAATACTCTGAAACGACGGTAGGGAAATAATTTTCAGCAGGTAAGATGTTTATTATACCTGGCTTAGACGGATATATTCGGGCGCCTTACCATTTCAAAGGAACAATGCCATTAGGTGTAAGGTCAAGAACGTAGAGTCTGCCATTTCCAACGAGGCCGAAATTTGCAGACGCAGCAACTGCAAGGCGGGAGTCAAAAAAGGGGGAATATTTCACGGCATATCCATTGAATCCCTCCGTACGAAACTCGAGCATATTGCCGAATGGGAGGGGCAGGCCAGGGGAGTTGCTCTTCCCGAGTGATGATCAGTATACAATTCCACACAGTTTTGCTGTCAACAATCACCTCTAGTCATGGTGTCTGAATTGCATCAATATGAGTGGGTCCCTTTGGCAGTATGTTCTGTAATACGCATTCTCCATAGAGTCGCTCTGGGATATCTCGACAGGCGCCAGGAAGAATTTGTTCCAAGACCGGTCGAACTTCAACAGAGGCGCGGCTTCTGGCCTGACGTTGATTTTTAACACACGCCGAGGTCCACAGCAAGACCTTGGCGAACCGACCATTACGTCAGCATCACATCAGTCCCAGCCTGCGGCCATCCATTTGGGTAGTTTATAACTATAGAAAGGGGACAGAGACATGAAGGGGAATTCCAATTTCAACCTTCTGATTCCATGTCTACCACCATTTTAATTATATACATTTGGTTGAATAGAATTTCAGCCAAACAAGGACCCTACTTTTCCATCCACTTCTGAACTTCCGCCGCAATTTCGTCGCTATTCATCTCCAGGAAAAGCATATGTCCGTTGCCATGAATCCCTGCTTCCCCGAGCGATAAGTGGTCCACATGTACTCCAGCCTGTTGCAAATATCCTACCGTACAATAGTCATGTGTCGCATGGTATGATGCTTCACCCGTAACAACAAGAACATCGATATCTGCCAGGTTGTCCAGCTGCCGTGGCGGAGGGGACTCCGCTTGGACAATGCAACGTGCTCTGTCATTGGAGCTGGGAGGGATGATTTGTTGAACTAGGTCGGTTTGGGGGTTGAAAACAGGAGGTGAGTAAGTCAAGGGAACATCCGTTAGGCCCCAGGGCCGGGCCGGTCCCTCCCTTAAAATCACATTCTCAAAAGGCGGACCTGCCGGTTCGATGGCTACGATGGAGTGGACCAGGTCAGGTCGAGCATCCGCTATGAGCCAACCCGTAGCTCCTGACTGTGAATGAGTAACAAGAATGGCCGGCTTTCCAATACGTGACAATAAGTCAACTCCTGCTGCCTGGAGGGTTGTTTGTTGATAGACGTCAGATGAGAGAGACTGTACTGTCGAGGCGAAATAGGCATCGAAAACTTCATCTCCCCTGAAACCTGTTCCTGGCCACTGGGTCTGAAGCTTCGCCTGTGGCCACAGGTCATAGTTTTTTGTTGCGGTCAGTAGCCGCTCGACCACCTCACTAGTCCACCTTACCGTGGTGTCATTGCCCGGTAACCCTGGGCTTCGACCACGGAATGTTTGGTCTATTATATAGATTTCATAACCTTTAGAGAGAAAATACGACGCCCATCCCCGACCACCATCAGGCTTATTCAACCAGTTCTAGCTCATGTATTAGCCGCAGGAAAGGAGGCAAGTTTTCAAGGGCCAAAATATCTCATAACGAAATAATAGTAAAGTGCATACTGTTCCTGTCTGAGCAAAGCCGTGGATGAAGATGAGGGGGAATGGCTTTGTGCTGCCCTCGATGGGATTCAATTGCTCAACGTAGATCTGACCTTCAAGGAAATGACCCCCACTGCCATCACTGAAGTACTTGCCACCCGCGTAAAAGTATCTCCGCACACATGGTGTTTCGACTGTTTTCTCGAAACCGCCCAGGAAAGGGATGATATTGAGAAGTAGAAACAACGGTTGGAACATTGTAGCTAAGTGAACAACGATTGAGGGCTTAGGACTTGACGGATGGAAAACCACAACAGTCAGCTGAAGTTGAGTATTTCACGCAATCCAACAATTAAAAACGCTAGCCATATTAGTGATTTGGTTGTTGCACAAAGCGACCTTTCACACCAATAACCAGGTGTCCTTGGAATATGCATATCTCGTCACAATTTTGGATTAGCACCTAGTGCAAATCCACAACGTCGCCTTATCATTCTGGCATTGCAGATTTACAACTCGGAATGAGCACCATGTCGAATGTCTCCATTCTTTCCCAACGCCTGGAAACAGTTTGAATCATAAGAACGCAATTAGGATCCTTCACATGGCCGTAAACAAACGATCAATTATTGTTGTCCATCGTTTCTAAATCCTGGCGTTCGTGCAAGCCGGATATCCGGAATTTTATCCTCCAGCGACTTCTTGTAACTGGCCTCCGCAAGGGACAATTAATTCACCTTTGTGAATTAATGGATGTTGGTCTGTCTGACTTGAGGGAAATGTCCAATCGTCAAGCCAAAGTCGGGGCTTAACCAGATCAATTAGTGAGCGTCACCTGACCTCGCGACTGTCTCGTAACTATTTCCCCGCGAATTGAATTTATGGCGTGACTTGATCCACATATAGATACCGGGACAAGGCCACAATATCCAGGCAACAGATCTTATCTAATGGCTCCAAACAGGGGACTGCTGCACCCTAAACGCACATGCGCACGACACTCTAGAAATCAGACCAGCAATGGACAGGTTTCTTTCCAGAAAACGTCCAAGGGAACAGTCCCCTCTCCCCCATAACACCACAAAGCATCTGCCGGAGGTAGATGAAGAAATACTCGCAAGCGAGGAGGAATCAACTGACGTTAAGTTAGCCGTCCTGGCATCTCTCTTCCCAGATTTACAACAAGACATCCTTCTCGACACCTTAATTGCGAGTGACGGATCCGTAACAACTGCATGCTCAACTTTATCATACCATGCACCCCCTGGCAATAATAAGAAGCGGGCCACTAACGGGGCCCTGGGGATACAGAGCTCACTCTCAGCGTTCGGAGTAAAAGCAATCAATTCATCAACATCAATACTAGGTCCAAAATCCGTCACTAAAAGAGGCCGGACCCTTCACCTTTTCGATCCTGAGGACATATCAAAATACACCTCTTGTACCATAATCCACAACTTCCTGCCTGCCAACGAAGCCAACGACCTCCTCCGTGAACTTCTCGAAGAAGCAAAAACTTTTCAACGGCAAACGTTTCAACTGTTCGAAAACACCGTCCAAAGCCCCCACTCCGCGGGCTTCTATGTCGCCAGTGCAGCGGAGCAAGAACAGCAACGGCACGACTACTCATACAACGGCACCTATCGCACTGATGTCCGACAACTAACTCCAGAGCTACGTCGTGTTTCTGTAAAAGTACAAGAAGCCGTCAACAACGAGATTCAGAAACGTATCAAATATTACTATCCTGGTGGCAAGAAGCTCAAATATCAGTCACCGCGCACATGGGTTCCGAATGCGGCCTTTGTTAACTGCTACGACGGACCCTCTGAAAGCGTGGGCTACCACTCAGATGAGCTGACATATCTGGGACCGCGGCCTGTCATAGGCAGCTTGAGTCTAGGTGTCTCGAGGGAATTTCGGGTACGCAGGATTGTGCCACCCGATGACCCTGACGACAACGAAAAAGCTACAGGAGCAGCAGCAGCAGCGACACAAACGAGAGCAGACATCCAAGGCCAAATCTCCATTCACCTCCCTCACAACTCCCTCCTAGTAATGCATGCCGAAACCCAAGAAGAATTCAAGCACAGCATCAGCCCTTCGCAGACAATCTCCCCGCATCCCATCGCAGGAAACAAACGCATAAATATCACCTATCGCTGGTACCGAGAGTCTCTCCATCCACGCTTCACACCCAAGTGCCGCTGTGGGATGCCGTGCGTGCTGCGGTGTGTGCAGAGGAAGAAGGAGACGAGGGGCAGGTACATGTGGATGTGCTATGCGGGGTATGCGGTTGGACATACGTCGTGTTCCTTTTTCCAATGGGCGGAGTTTGATGAGGATGGGGAGCCTGTTTGGGCAAACGAAGGGAAAGCAAAAGGAATAGGGGTTGAAGCTGGTGCTAGTAATGATCATTTACATGAAAAGCAATGATGAAACATTGAATTATGACAACTTATGAAGTTAATGATTTGAAATTTACTTACTTTTAGTGACTATTTAGACGGGGTACATGAACAGCAGAACAAAGGATACTTGGGTTTAATCCACTGCACTTTATCTACAAATAATCTCACAACTTCCAAAAGAATAACAGGACTCGATGGGGATATTCCTAAGAAGTCGTGCGATCGATTATCCACAGCCACTGAGGCAACCCGGACCACAAACAGTAGATACAAACACGCCTGCCTTCAAAGTCATTATTATACACATTGGAAGCTAAAACAAGAACCACGTTGCAGTCAGCTCTGTCTCCGATTCCCGGCCTCTTACTTCTTTCACCGCAGTAAGGTCGCTATCCACATCGAGAAACGAATGGCAAGCCTCCATGAGCATTTTGATCTGGAGGAAGCGCATGAATGCAGTTCTCGTCACATCCTCTTACCAAATTTCGGAACGGGTTCATACTCCCCAGTGCTACACGCGGGCTAACATACATCATTGGATCCGGTGGATACGATGATCCTTCCAAACTGTCATCACCATGGGCCGATTCCGTACGATCCTCACCATCGAGGTGATGACTCAGATGCATTGAATTAATGGTCAAATTCATAGCCTCAATGGTTCTTTCCTCGTCGTATAACTCTTGCACATCTTTTCTTAGAGCTCTTCTCACCTTATCACCGAATAAAGCGTTACTACGAAGATATCGGTTAATTTCACACTTATTTTCCAATTTAATCACTGCGGGGCTGGAGAGCGCTGAATGGTTGTGCTCTAGGGTCACAGTAAAAAGACTCCCAGTCAGAGCTATGGTGGAGGACCTGAAAAGTCCCTGGAGTTGATCAATCATTTGATCAACATCGTTCTTGGCACGATTTTGCACCGGATGGTCTCCATGTCCAGCTGTATTCTCGATACCGTCATTAGGACCATAGGAGGTTTCCAATGCCTCAGAAATAGCTTTTATTTTGACCAAGATCGTCCACTTCTCGCCTGGTCGCAACGTTTTGCATTTCGTCTGTCCAAGAATGGCTGCGATATAGCAACCGTCGCCTCCAGGAATCCTTATCGACAAATTTGACAAGACCCCAGGGTCGAGGCCCATACGAAGGTGTCGCATAACCTGTTTTAATCTATCTTTCAGACTTTGCACACCACCGTCATCCTCTTCATCATCGAAACTAGCAGAGAGATGCCATCCATCCATTGTTGTGGAAGCCCGTATTCCGAGCGCTGGTTCTGGAGATACAGTGTGAAACCGTATTCGGCTGCTTACGTTTGTGGACATATCAGACAATGATATGCTTGAACTTGAAGTAACAACAAAGACATGACGTAGTGCTCCTCTACTGGAATATCTCAGTAGCAGATTGGATGCCTCTTGGATGGCTTTTGTGGTGCGGGCCCGACTTAGCTGGTCACCAGGCAGTTTAAATATCTGCATGGATCGAAGTAGTCTTCGAATGAGGTCGAGGTTGCATATTGATAGTGGCGACAAAAGTTGCAGATTCTGTTCAGGATCAGCAGATATACAACCAATTGCCAGTCGGTCTACCAAAATGTCCATTGAAGAGGCTATGTGAAGCACAGTGTTGCACGCCCCGTTTAATAAAGTGGAGGGCATACTTGCTCTAATCCAGTCAGCTCTTGTCATTTAAAACTGAGTTAAGGAGAACCCACGAGTTATCCACAAGTATCATAATGTCTAGTGGAACTTCGCAACCAATCTGAGCATCAATGTCACCATCCAAATTAGCGATTTTTGCTGATATGTCTACTGCAGCCCAAGTAAATAGATCCTGGTGAGCAGAAATTTTCATGGCATCCATTGTTATATGCATATTTGCACTCGTGATTGGGAGGGGACAGGGGAACCGCGTTTGGACATTATTGCGGTGTTTTGTGATACATATATTAGTCCTTGTCAAGGGTGGAGTTCGTCCGAATTGTTGTGGGGAAACCACTGGAGTTACCAATGTGGACTCGCATCGATTACTTTCTCCCAATTGACTCTGGGTAATTATAGGGCTTGGTACCGTATAAACACGAGTTGGGCGATCTGGTATAGTAAAGGAACCAGGTACAGGTCCCGGGCTTGGCTGACGTTGCTTGTTGAAATCGAGTGCCTGAGCGACACGCGCAAAGATTCCTTTTGAGGGTACCTTTCGCAACGTGTGACTGCTCCCTAGACGTCGTCTCTCGTTCCCCCGCTATATATCTAAGCTTAGCTCTTACCGCATTGGAAATGGAAACGTTTACGCTTGCAATAATATAACAACCCATACCTCTTCCATTCTGTTCTCAGCACTACCAAATGCTTCAAGCTCCGGCGGGGATGAATCGAGTGGAGTATGCATTTCGGTGTCGCGCGGTTCACAGGAACGAGTGCTGTCCCTCTGGGTGTGTAATGTGGAATACTGAAGTACTCTCGAGAACTGGGATGTTCGACGAACGGCATAGGAGGGGTGTCGTCGAGGAACCGCAAAAGGGGGAGCAAAAACCTTGAAGTAGGAAGTCGTAGAAGCTTCTGAAATGGTTACCAGGCGTCGTTTACAAATGCGCAAAGACTCTGTCGTGGGGATTGTTGTGTTGCCTCGGTTGGCGCATGGCTGGAGAGTCGCGTTGGGCATGACTGTCGTCTGGCTGCGGGATTATATAACCAAGCGGTGAATGTCTACACGTGTTCCATCAACTCCACCCCCTTCATGTACATGTCCGCGTCACTGTCGCTGGACTCAGATCTCTTTGTCGACGCAGACGACGAGTCTGATGATGATGATGCTAAACAGGGTGCGTCAGAGCGATTCCTCCTTGTGTGCCCGCTATTTCCAGATGGAATCATACGCCGTCGTTCGCGACGCAGACTCCAGTACTCTGAGCAGACCAGAGCCGTTGCAAGAATGGAGAAAAGCAGAACAATGGGCACGAGGGCCAGGGCAAGTAAGATCAGGTTCCGATTTGCTTCGCTCCGTGTTATTTTGAACATGTCGAACCCTTGCATTAAGAGGTTCCTCCCTGATATTCAATGGGAGATCTTAGATGACTTATAGATATATCAATTGGACGTAATCATCAGCTACAAGGCATGAATAGCACAAGAGAACATTATATATGCAGTTGAACGAATGAAATCATCGCAAAAGAGAGAAGGGAAAGAAGCCCGTGTTTATTAGAGGAGTAAACACAGCAAATGGGGCAACAGTGGATTGCGGAAAAGGAGGAGCGATGATGGCCCTCAATATCCATCGCAGATATGCACCGCACCTGTCATGGGTATATATTAATTGAATCACACAATGGGAAAATTGAAATTTCGGATATCAAAACGATAGTCCAAAAATGAATGCCGGGACAAAAACAAACAGCATGGAAACATAATAGTTTCGTATTTTAAACATTCAGAAGATAGAGATTTATGCAAAATCGTGGTGTTTTTGATCACTACCTCTTCGAGTGGAAATAATCTGCTCCTTCGTTTTGGCCAGTATATCGTTATCAAGTTTGACAAATCGAACCTTAGACATAAAAATCAGCGCTCGGAATATAGCTTCCATAAAATAAAATCAATCAGCCAACCACTGTACTCACAAGGTCATCACTTGCACCTCGCGTACTATTGCCAAAGAGGACAGATTCCAAATAACTGGTTTCAACCCCAGTCTGGACCCTCTTCTCCCACACACCCTCCCAGTTCCATTCTCCAGGACGACGAGTTTGCGGACTGCCCTTTTTCAACTGTCCATCCGAGCCATCTTCCCCCTGCCTAGTTCCCAATCCCCGATGAGCTCGCCATGCATGCCAAGCTCCAGGGTTTCCAGCTGCCTCCAGGGGGATAGAATCTAACACCGCTTCATCATCAAATGTCGACCGAATGTAGTTGAGCAACTCCAGAACTGGAACATCGGTTCCAGGACTACAGCAATGTGGCAACCCCGCCGGCACCGGAGATACACGCGCATGAGGATAGGACGACGAAATTAATCCTTTAGGTAAGTCTCCCGTTGGCGTTCTTGAACACTTGAAGGGTGCCTCTGATACTGATTCTGTCGTGCGCTCGCTGTCCTGTTGTCCGGTGGGTGCTTGGTCCGTACGATTGTCATTTAGATCACCACCACTGACGTTGCGCGACGGCGCAGCCGAACCTGCTACACTCCTCCTCGCTCTTCCAAACCAATGTGGAAATCCATGTCTCAGACTAAAACCACCGGGAGGCAGGCGCTCTTCGTCATTTGCGCTGACGGTATCTGTATCCGGCGAGTTGGTGCTAAATGTGTACGTTGTTAGGGGCACGAGAAGGGGGTGGAATATGTCTGTTGTGAAAGTTATTAGCGGTGGGAGATCTGGATATGTCGATGGAAAGCGGAGCTGGAATCGGAGGATGGCAGATGCATAAGGTCCTATGCGATTACAGGAACCAGATTGGATGTTAGCTTTATGGTCAGAGATAACTCTTGTGTCGTAATCCCAGATGACATATTTATATTAAATACCTTTCTGAACAAAAATCACCCCAGACCAGAAGGTCGGGTCTGTTGGTGAGATGTTCACATAAACACCAGGCGGAGGGGCTGTTTTCAAGCTCGTGCTTTGGGGAGAGATGGTAAGGAATCGTACGTCAGCTCTCGTGCAAATCACTCCACATCGGGAACATATCTCCAGAAAAGAGAGGGGATTCCGTGAGAGGCTTATGCTGAACTTACAATTCAAGCCGAAGCTGCTGTTTGCGCAGGGAGGGGATGTCGGGGAGCCTATAAGTCGACATTACTACGTCGTTAAGATGTGGTTTGGAAAGACTTAGCGACGATGCTTCTTCGACGTGGTGGATCATACATAGTCTTGGCATTCAGGGGGTAGAACCATTTGGCTACAACGCAGAGAGATCGAAATAGGCTGTCGTTGCAATCTCATTTTCAGCTTCGCAAAGCCATCTCGCATTTACCGGAGGTGTTGACTACAATTTTAATGCATCGGCCTGTCCGGTGTTTCCATGGTAAATTCTGACATTGGTTTAGTTTCTATTATATTGTATATCAGCAGTAAATGACATAGAACAAGAGTCATCAAAAAGCTGATAAGAGCAATCAAAGCAGACAAGGAGTTGCAATGCTTTCCATCCAGAGAGGCATATTTCCCAAGGGCCTCCTCTATACTTTGTCCGAAAAAGAAAACAGATCTGAAAGTAAAAGAAGAAGAAAAGCCCAAACAGTTTTTATTATGCGTCTGGCCAGCATCAGTAACTATTAGCTCTATGGTTCAAATCATCCTCACTGTTCCACGAAAGTATCTTGATACCAAAGCGTGGCTGAAAACTGGTAAATTCGCTTGCATCGCTCTGGGTCGACCTTGCAAAGTGGAAGACGCAGTCGTCCTCGATTGGCCTGAAATATTCCGAAGAGTAAAAGAAATCACCCCCAAAATCTCCCATTGACGTATCTTCCGAGTGGGTTGAGGCTAACCTAATTCCCTTGGGTTCCATTGGTCCTGTTGAATAGCCTTATGTGCAGAGTGGATGTTCATTCTCCTCCCAATGCTCGAAAGAAGTGCCGTTTTCCCTCAGTCGTTTTGCAACAGCCCAGAGATCATGCCAATGTTTCTGGTCAAGTTAGCCGGTGACTGACTACTTACCTAGTCCCTTCAAGCTCGATTACTGAAATACCTTATATCTACAATCTTGGACAGGTTCATGCATCAGAACGATAGGAATGATAAACTAGACTCCTATCTCCTCACTTCCATGCTTGCTTCCTGGGCTAGGAGTAATCCATGCGAAGTTGGCAAACGAAGAAAATATCCCACTCTTGACGTTTTTCAAGGGAAGGGCCATTGTCGCTACCGTCTTGTGTATGAAGAGGATAACTTCATATATAGCTAGACCTTTTGAGATGTCCTAGCAGATGCTTGAGCAAAACGACGTCATCCATGACATTTCTCGACGGGTAGTTATCCGAAACACTAAAAAGAGCCTCATAGAGAGCTTGGAGGTCTGGGTTCGGCTGTCACTAGCCGAAGCACGTAATCCAACCCTATGTGCAGGATAGAAGGCGGAAATGTTTCACTCATACGGGGCTCCGAGACCGGAGTGAGGGTCCGGTTGAACTGAATATGTTGGCGAGAAGAACAATGTGGGGGATTATCATATAGAAAGCTAATGAACATCATCAACCATGCATGGCGCATTGAATTTTCAACGTATTCGTATTCCAGGATGCGGCGTCTTTCCTGATCAGCAGACTGGACCAGTTTTCAAACTTGAGATATCGTTGGCATTATTATTGATTCCTGATGGCCGTGCCGATGCATGCTCGCTTGTTTGTCCTGGTTTTGTCCTGGTTTAACTATCAGGATGAGGGCCGGTCATCTCCAGTATTATTAATCCACGGTCTGCAGAAGCTTGGCAAGGCTAAGCCGCAGAGGGCAGCAGCTAGCCCCGCTTAGGCTAAGCGCTGGGCTGGATGTCAAGGGAAGGGCGTAAAGAAAAGACAGGGGTCACTGTAGGGTGATTAATTAGTTACCTAAAGACCAGGCGGGCGGCTGAAGCGAACAGCCAACATCCTCACCCGCAACCTTGTGAAGTCGTGAAATTCATCTCCAACCTGACTTGGATAAAGATAGCTCTGCATGAAATAAATGGGATAGTCCATTCTGTTTGTTGTCTCTGAGACCTTGGTTATTCCATTTCTCGGATGCTGCAACAATAAACTGGCAAGGTTAAGCAAGTTGGAGAAAAGCAACACGTTGCTATCGGACGAGTGATCATGAAGCTCCATACTGCGAAACAAAGTGGAGAATCTCAATTGTGTCAATTCTAGCCATGGCCCATTATCTTTGACGTCGAAACTAGCTGGGTTGCTGCATCGGGCTAAATATCACCTCTCTGACTCCCGAGTCTTCGCCATCAGATTCCAAGTATCTGATCCCGCATGAGGGATCTGATTCTAGTGTAGAATACACACCACTGCCACTCTCCGTGAAAGGTCATCCTAAAACCGAACCCGGTCAACCTGGCGGGGGGGGTAGTGTGGGACCCATGCAGACCTGGACAAACATAAAGCTCTCTGACTCCAATTCCTCTTTCTCTCTTCTTCTCTGCGTGTCCCTTGCAAATACTTCCTCCTTCAACACCATCTGCTCTTCATATCCAGAACGCTTTGATATGTTTCATCATTAGTTATTTCATATGACCGTGAACATATTGGCGATTTCGCATTGCCTTCTGGGGCGTCATCTTCACTCCTGTTTCCCAAACCTAGACCAAATACCAGGGGAAACGTTCAGCTCCTGCAGCTCCGAATTGTACCATGGAGTACTTTGATTTCGAACAAGCTGCTCAGGAAGATTATGTGGCATATGACAGCCCTGTCATCGACGAATCTGATATCGTGGCGCAGTATGACTCCTTAGTATTTTATAAGGACCTCGGTCTCCCTACTGGAGCCTCAGCCGTGCAGACAGATGAGGCTAAGGGGAAAAATGAACCATTCATAAGTTTATTCGATAAAGGTGTCTTTCCTGTCACTCGCGCTACAGAGCCCTGTGGTCTCTGTCGCGCTCGCGGCCTCGACTGTTTCATGGCTAAGCGGGGCGTGATGCGAAATAACGGCTGCACATGTTGCATCTCTTTGTACCGTGAATGCAGTTTTACCCGGACAAAGCCCCATGAAAAGGGCCTGGATACGTTACATGTTGTGTCTGAAGACAGCTACGTGCCAATCGGCGGTTTCACCGGCAAGAAAGCTTTACGGTCCTTTAAAGGCGGCGCTGGCGGTTCGGCATTCGAAGACACAGATTCAAAAGGTCGAAAGACTGGTGCTAGATTTTCTCGAGAAGCTCTTCGGGTTCTAAAGACGTGGCTAACGGAGAATGCCGGCCACCCCTATCCGACAGACGAGGAAAAGGACGAATTGAAAATAAAGACTGGTCTAAAGCGAAGCCAGATTTGCAATTGGCTCGCAAATGCCCGTCGTCGGGGTAAAGTTCGGCCCAGTCTCCGTGCCAGCTCTCCTCGACCTACCGGGCCTATCGATATTCCACGGAAACAATTAGCTCCAGGTGTTGATATCACCGATTTGACTCCCCTTGAGCGTTGGAAGCATTCTCCCCCTGAGCACGAACCTGCATCGGCTACTGCCATTATTCGAGCCATGGCCAATGCTCCTTACGTTCCAGAGAGAAATTCATCAAGTGGCAGTCGTGTCCGGTCGCACTCTCGGAACACAGGGTCCAGTAACGATGGCTCGAGCTTCTCAAACTTGATGCCAGCTCCGTCGGTGAGTAGTTACAGCTTTGAAACAACAAAGTCCAGTACCTCCGACATGTCATTTGCATCTGCATTTTCCCATCGTTCGTCTCGCTCCTCGTTTAACTCCGCGGACTCAAAAGAACGCCGCCGACGCCGTCACAGGTCTGTAGTAGGGCAAAACACCTTTCAAAAAGCTCGTGCCGCCAGAATTTTCCAGTGTACCTTTTGTGCTGATTCATTTACAACGAAGTATGACTGGCAGCGACATGAGAAATCGCTGCATCTTGCATTGGATAAATGGACATGTACGCCACAAGGAGGTGCAATATCGTTGAACGGTGCGATTGTCTGTGCGTTCTGCAAAAGTACTAATCCCGATATCGACCATCTTGAGGCGCATAACTTCAATGCTTGCCAAGAGAAGTCTATCCATGAACGGACTTTCTATCGGAAAGACCATCTTACTCAACATCTTCGCTTGATGCATTCTGTAAAGTTCAGTCCTTGGATGGAAAACTGGAAAAGTGCTACTACCAAGATCAAATCGTGCTGTGGATTCTGCTCCTCCACCTTTACTACATGGAAAGATCGCGTTGAACATCTTAGCGCTCACTTCAAAGCTGGCACTGACATGTCACAGTGGAAAGGCGATTGGGGTTTTGAGCCCTTCGTTCAACGGCTTGTCGAGAATAGCATACCTCCATTTCTCATCGCCCAAGAGAGAAACACACTAAATCCATGGGTTGCTAAACCTGCAGCAACGAAATACAGCCATGTTGCCGAAAGGATAGCATCCTATCCAGGCTCTATTAGCGATTCATCTAATATTCCCATCCCTGAAGACGCGAACTGTTTCCGCCGCCTCCAGATCCAGCTTGCTGCGTACATAAGTCGTGAGGTTGCGCGTGGCATCATCCCTACGGATAGTGAGCTCCAAAACGAAGCCCGAAAGGTCGTTTATGGATGTGACGACCCGTGGAACCAAACCTGTGCTGACAACCCGATATGGCTCTCCATTCTGAAACGAGATAGCGGCCTCTGCGATTCACCAGAAGTTGACAACATCCATTTAGATGACTTAGGGATGCAACCACCGTTTGCTGCTCCCGGGCTATCTCAACCACCCAGGCATAAGCTTATGGCCATAACATCAAACCTGAGTAATTCGGGATTCAATAGCTCCGGTTTTTATAGTCTAGCGTTCGACAGCAATGTTTTCAGCTCTGGCGCGCCCAGTGTCCTTGGCAGTTTCATGGGCAGTGCCACTGGGAGTGTAGGTGTCAGTTCAACCGGAATCGCAGGCGGCTGGCTAGGTTTGACGACTTCTTATACAATATCTTCTTCCGCACCGGTCACTGTCGGATTCAATCCAACTGCTCATATTGGTACTGACTCACAGTACCGCCAATATCCGTCCGATAGTGTTAATGGAGATCTAGGCGCGAATTTCGATGATATGCATATCGATACATTTGAACCTGGAGGTACCACAATCACCGCTAAAGTAGGAGCTATGAACAGCAGAGGTCACCTTTCGTTCAAAATGCCATCTTCCATGCCAATAGATATCCCTGCGCCAGCTATATCTGTGTCTGGAACAAATATTGCGTCAGGGTCTAATGAACCCTGCTTCCGGAATATCTTCGATGACCATTTTGATATGAACTAGCATCATTTTTATTTTTATTTTTCCACCTCGGAGGAGGAACCATAGGAAGAGACTAGGGAAATAATCTCACAAGATTGTATCAACAATCTACACAGTTTAACTTTTGCATGTATGGAAACGATAAAAAATATTGGCTAAACAAAGATTAGAAACGACCAAAATAAAGATATATAGGAAGACAGGTTGATTTCAACAGACTCTTCGCTTGTTTTGTTTCCTGGTTTAGCATTTTTGATTCAATTGACTTCTCGCTCCAAAAGCCTGCTCTTGACCCTCTCCTTGGTTAGCTCTCTTTATAGTTAGTTATCAAGTTCAATTATTAATCAGCTTAGTTTTATTGGGTATTACCGCCATCCTCATATTGCAGTTAAAATATCTGGAAGTTTGAAAAATGATATGAATATTGTAAAGCAGGCAGATCCAATGGATCCGCAAGGCAAGCGTTCGCGTAAGCAAGACAGAGGTAGAGAGATCGGAAAGGCTGGGATTTTCTTAATATATATGTGCCCATTATTAACCCCGCTGTATAGTAATGGGATGCTTTTACAATAACCAGACCAACAGGCTCTCGATTTGACAACAAAGTTAATTTAACACTGGTCCCTTGGACTGCTCTCACCGAAACCAACCGGAACCAAGAAACCGGCAACTGCTCCAAGATTCCTTAACGAAGGCCGCAAACCTATGTACACATGCCACACGAGCAGGTAGTTAACTAGTTACTTCACTCTTAACAAAGAAGTTAGGGTAAAAATCCATAGCGTTCAGACACACATGGCCCCTCCCCTCTACACAATCCCCGCTTCCCTATCTTTGTTAAACTTATCCACCACCTCCCTCGTTTTCCCAATGATGCCCACACACCCGGGAGAGTCGGAATGGCAGCAAATGGAAACCGGGTAATCCCCCATGGGCAGGTTGACCTGGGTCCCATCAACTGCTGTCACAGACTGCGTCCGCACCTGTTGTGTGACATGTTTCTCCACATCCGCCAGATCCCACGGCTTCTTCTTTCGATCGATTACCAAAGATCCATCCGCCCGATATTTAACATCACCGTAAAGTTCTGCCCAGAACGGGATACCCAAATCCTTCGCAGCTTTCTCCATATTGGTGCCTGCAAGGCCGAAGACGGGGATACCCTTGGGGATCCCGAGCATCACAGCCTTGGCCACTTCGTAGTCGCGACACATCATGCCGTACAGGATGCCATGAGGCTTGACATGGTGTAGTGGCACGCCTTCTCTGTCCAGGAACCCTTTTAGGGCGCCGACTTGGTAGACGGTTATGGCCGTAAGTTCTTCCGGGGAGAGTTTCATTTCACGGCGGCCGAAGCCTTGAAGATCCGGGAGGCCCGGGTGAGCGCCGATTTTAATGTTGTGTGCTTTGCAATTCCGGACAGCTTCCATCATGATGAGAGGGTCACTTTTAAGATGTAATAATATAAATGGATATGTTTGGAACTCATGTTAGCCTTTGATCGTTCTTACATTTTGCACTGAATCTTCAGTTTTGGATTTGCATCGTATATGCCTTTCTCTTTCAAGGCTATCTTGCGCCCTTCCCCTCTCTCCTCCGTTTTCAGGTTCCAGGCCATAGAGTATGGCTCTTAGGAGAGATGGGGACGCTATGTGCCATTGGCCCAAATGCATTAAGGGGACATGATGAAATGCTTACCCGGCATGAAACCCACAGGCAATATTTGCCTGATCAATCATTGGGAGAAGCTCAAGGTCTGGACCGCATGCCCAATTGCCATACTAGATGATGAGATACTACCAGTTAACCATTCGTATTCACTATTCTCGCTCTCCAAATCTGTAATTCGCTTCTGGGAAAGTAGAATAAGGGGGGAGAGTGAGTAGTGTGGGGTGGGGTACGGGTGGTATGTATATACAGCTTCTCCCATATCACAATTGATCAGCGCCTTGTGCTTGATGGGCGCCATGCTGCGTGGATCTTATCGTAGAAGATGTCTCGTAGTCTATATTGATCTAAAAATTTGATTGCCGTTTTGGCCACGGTGACTATGGCTGTATACCTCGAGTTGTAACTCCAATTGACAGCGTTGATGTAAGATAGTTATGTGAGTTGACAAAGTCCGGAAAATGGAAATAACATGCCACAACCCCAGACCAATTTCTCTGCGAATATCAAAGGTGGAGGCAAACTTGAGTTTAGCATAAACCTTTTTTACGTCCCCGCACTTCTAAATCCAGGGAGGGGGTTGCAGAAGACATGGATGGATACCTGATTCCTGGGACAAAGAAAGTTTCGGGTTGGGGACATCGAATCAAATATCGGCATCACCAAAGATGAGCTATGGCCGAACCATTCTAACCCATGCAGATGCATAGTTATAGCATACCATGGGGTTGTGGGAAATATCAGCCACTTTTGGAGGATCTCTCGGCAGCGGCAGTGGTTGGATCTGCCTATGAGAACTACCGCCAGCAACAACCCCGCCCGTTCAACCAAGGACCATCCGGTTGGCAAAGCTATTTCAGAGTTCGGAGCCTATGTTTTTACAAAAATATCCGTCACCTTCTCTCCCCCCACCTCCTTATTTCTCCATGGGATCGCACCCCACCTGGGAGACTGAGGGGTAGCTGCCATGTTTCCGACACGCCACTGTGACCTGGTTGGATAGTTAATTCTCTGGTAAATCTGAGGAACAGTCGAAGCGCACTGCAACTCAAGAGCCTAAAACCCCCCCTTGAGGATCATAACCTTCGTGGAGAGCCGGTTTATAATTGTCCGAAATGGAACGGACAGTTAAACCACGGCCATCCGCCTGCTTTTGGCTGAAGAAGATCCAAGATTCATTTCTTCTCTTTCATCCTCCGAATCCAATCGTTTTGATACATTCCCATCCACCGACGACACCATGGATTCACTTAAGACTATTCTCATTGCGAATCGTGGAGAGATCGCCGTGAGGATTATCAGAACTGCCAAGTAAGTTTTCAAATAAACGGTTATCTGTCGAATAGCCTGGATTCCCTTGTAAAATACCATTGCCATTGAAAGATTCCTGGACATGGAATAACATTGGTTGACAATATATGAATGAAATGAAGGGCGTTAAATATTCGAACAGTCGCAGTATACACAGAGCCCGATGCTATATCTACCCATGTCTCCTTAGCCGATGAATCGGTGCTGCTTGAAGGACCTCCAACAAAAGCTTATGTTGACGGGTATGAATCACCATTTTGCACAGGTCCATAGTTTCTATGGCTCGTGAATTTTATGACTTTATGTGTCGAATTACGGCCGTTTATTAACAGCTCCCTGTGAAGAGACCAAATCATCAACGTTGCTAAACAGTACAAAGCCAATGCCATTATTCCCGGATATGGCTTCCTTTCCGAGAATACTGACTTTGCTCGGCTGGCCAAAGAGGCGGGGATCGCCTTTGCTGGGCCTAGTCCTGAGAGCATTGAAGCTTTTGGCTTGAAACATCGAGCTCGGGAGCTTGCTATCGATGCTGGTGTCCCAATTGTACCCGGAACTCAGTCCCTTGTTAAAGATGAGGAAGAGGCGGTTAATGCCTCCAAGAAGCTTGGCTTTCCGGTATTGCACCCTCCTTCTATATAATATACTCTTCTTAGATCAGATCATACACTTAAGGGGGCGGGTCAAGGGTTAATTATGTCTTTTAGGTTATGCTGAAAGCTACAGCTGGGGGAGGAGGAATGGGCTTATTAACATGTCATTCTGAAGAAGAAGTGCGAGAGTCATTTGCAACAGTGAAATCGCGAGGCGAAGCCCTGTTTAAGAATGGCGGCATGTTCATTGAACGATACTATCCATCTAGTCATCATATCGAGGTCCAAGTTTTTGGCAATGGGCTTGGAAAAGCGATTCATTTTGGTGAAAGAGAATGCTCCATTCAAAGGAGACACCAGAAGGTCGTCGAAGAATGCCCTAGTCCCTTTGTTACAAAGCATCCTGAACTACGGCAGAAACTGTGTGACGCTGCTGTTCGCTTGGCAGAATCAACTAAATATGCATCTGCGGGAACGATCGAGTACCTGGTGGATGATGATACAGGAGATTTCTTCTTCCTCGAAATGAACACCCGTCTGCAGGTGGAACATGGCATCACTGAGTTATGTTACGGCGTCGACTTAGTTGAGCTTATGTTGAAGCAAGTGAACGCTGAGCTCTCAGGAAAGAAAGGACTAGATGCAGCCTATCTGGAAAAATTGCAGTCGAAGCCACTCCGCGGAGCAGCTATAGAGGTCCGAGTGTATGCTGAAAATCCTGCGAGGAACTTTGCCCCTTCCCCTGGCGTGTTGCAGGAAGTTCAGTGGAAAGAAATCCCTGGTTCTAGATTTGATACTTGGGTTCGCAGGGGAACCAAGGTGACAGCAAATTACGGTATGATCTAATCCTCAGAATATCAGATAGCTGTATCCTTGCTGATCAAACCAGATCCCCTTCTCACCAAAGTTATGTATCACTCTCCTTCCAGAGAAGAAACCATCAGGGGGATGTTCACTATCCTTTCCGAGTCAAAGATCTGCGGGCCTCCAACAAATCTCGAGTTCCTTGCTTCTATCCTAACAGATGCAAGGTTTGTCGAGGGTAATACTTTAACCCAATTCTTGAATACCTTCAAATACATGCCTGCTGCGATCGATGTTGTTGCTGGCGGAGCTTATACACTCATTGAAGACTACCCTGGCCGCCCGACTATCGGACGTGGATTCTCCCATTCAGGTCCTATGGATCCCTTGGCGTTCCGTATTGCCAACGCTCTCGTGGGAAACCCGGTTGGTCTCGAAGCTCTAGAAATTACCCTTAGCGGACCTGAACTGCTCTTCCTGGGCCCTGCAATCGTTTCTCTTTGTGGAGCGCCGATGGAAGCTAAATTAGATGGAGCTCCTTTCAAAATGTGGACAAGAGTTAAAATCAATGCTGGACAACGCCTCAGCATTGGTAGAACAACTGGAGGCGGATGCAGGGCGTATCTGGCTGTCTATGGAGGATTCACTAACGTTGCTAACTGGTTCGGTTCAAAATCGACGTCGCCTATGGTGGGCGTTGGTGGTTATCAAGGTCGTCAGCTCGCATCCGGAGACCTTCTATCTATCACAGATAAACTTCCGGAAATACACGGGGAGCTTTCTCTTCCCATGTCTCTAATCCCAGAATACCCATCCCACTGGGAGCTGCTAGCACTTGCTGGACCTTACGATGAGGGGTATATTCTCACTGACAACATTAAAGAGTTATATCGCACCACGTGGAAAATTTCTCATAATGCTGCAAGAGGGGGCATTCGACTTCTTGGACCAAAGCCGAAATGGGCTCGAACTGATGGTGGCGAGGGCGGCGCTCACCCAAGCAATGTTATAGAGTATGGTTACCCGATTGGAACCCTAAACTGGACAGGTGATGACCCATGTATATTCCCTGTTGACTGTCCGGATTTGGGTGGTTTCGTTTCCAGCATGACAGTTGCGAAGGCTGATTACTGGCGAATGGGTCAAATGAAAGCTGGGAACACGTTAAAGTTCAGGAGGGTTACTCTAGATGATGCACTTGCGTTGCGGCGCCAGGTTGACAGGTTTGTGGAGAGCATAGCAGAGTGTTGCTCAGGGAAGGCCAAGTTTGAGGAGGTCTCAGCGTTAAATTACGCCAATCTCCCTGAGTCAAAAGATTTTGGGTATGGCACAAAAGCTGTTATTCATCGAATTGAAGAAAATGGAAGGAAGCAGCCTTTGGTATCTTATAGACAGGTAAGTTTATGCAACTATTCTTCGCAGATTCTCCGTACTTTTTTCTACTAACTTTCTAACACTCTTTCAGGGGGGTGACGACTATATTCTCATCGATTACGGACATGGCGCCTTTGACCTCAACCACCGTTGCAGAGTCACCGCCCTCATCAAAGCACTGAGAGAAGGAAAGGGAGAGATTACATTCTCTACAGGATTGATTGGGACAGTTGGCTGCGGCAATTGTAAGTTTGGCCTGAAGTTTGCTATGTACTATTTTAACTGACTCGACGTAGCTCTTTCTCTATATTATGATGGCTTGAAAATCCCTCAAAAGAAGTTGATTAAGTATTTATGTCAGCTCGAGGTACAGCTCGGGGATCTAAGCCAGGTTAAGATGCCCAGCCGTCTCTTCAAACTCCCCCTTACCTTCGAGAGCAAGAGACAAACCGCCGCTCTACAACGCTACATGGAAACCCAACGGCCATACGCGTCATACCTTCCTGACAATATGGACTTCGTCGCGAAAAACAACGCTTTTACGCGCCAAGAGTTCGAGAATATTTACCTTACTGCCAGCTTCATGGTTGTCGCGGTAGGATTCTTTACTGCTCTGCCATTGTCACTCCCGGTGGACCCCCGCCATCGTATGAACTGTCCAAAGATGAATCCAAGCCGGGTTTTCACACCTGAAGGACAGGTGTCATGGGGAGGCTCTTGCATGGCGTGAGTCAAATAGCCCATACATTCCCTTCTTTTGATTCATTGGAACAACAAAGCTAATGGTAAAAGCCTTTATAACGTTGAATCGCCAGGAGGCTACCAACTGACCGGCATGTCCATCCCTGGAGTTGACATCCTAGGTTCCAAAGCTGGCTACTCTCCAGAAAAACCATGGCTCTTTGAAGATTTTGATCAAATCACATTTTACAAAGTGTCGGAAGAAGAGTACGAAAAAGATATGGCTTTATTCCACAGCGGCAGGTACCAATACAAATGGGAGAATGTCGAATTCGATATGGCAGAGCATAATCGATTGCTGGAGAGCACCAAGGACGAAGTAGCTATGATTCGTGCCCGACAAAAGCAAGCACAGGCTGAAATGACTAAACTTGAAAATGAACTGTTGGAGCGCTGGGCAGCGGAGAAGGAGGCGAATGAAATCCCGATGGATGCCGTGGAGGCTTTGTTGCAGGGTATGTGACCTTTTTATCTTTTCCATTTCGTTATATTATTCCCCTTCGAGTCGTAGGCTCACTGCCAACTCTGCGTAGATCCCGATATTTCTACAATTGAAGCACCCCTCAGCGCCAATGTGTGGAAAATTGAAGTTCAAGAGGGAGACAAAGTGACTGCAGGACAAGTTGTGACAATTCTGGAAGCTATGAAGCTAGAGATCGCTGTGCGTGCTGATGCCAGCGCTGTTGGAGGGACGATTGAAAAGATCCTGATCAAACCAAATGACACAGTTGAAGCAGGCAAGACGCTGTTCTTGGTGCGGAGCGGGCCGAAGAAAGCTTAGGGAAGGGTTCGATTGGGCAACGACTATGTATCGTTTTCCTTACCGGCGTTTTAACTATTAGTTAAAATGCTAGTTTGATTTACTTTTTCATAACTAGGTATTTCTTATGGGCCAGTTTTGTGAGACTCCGCGGTTCGTTGGAAGAATACCTGTTGTATCCGATGCTATACACTCTTGTTTGATAGGCCACATCACTTGCATCGCGATATAAAATGAAATGACCAAGCCCATTGCTTCTAATCAAATTGGTAATCAGAATTATATCATTAAAAAATATCCTCGATTGATTTCAAAAGGATTATCCAGAACATCCGACAAACCGTAGCCACCTTTAGGAAAACCTCAATCGTGGCTAACCCCACCAAAAGCTCACACTGATCCCGGCCTGAAGACCGCGAACGTAGTGCCACCAGCCAATTGGTATATACAAACACTCTCCTTCTTTCAAAACCGTTTCCACATACTCCGCATCCAAGAAACCAGGCCACATCAACTCCCAGGTCTCCAACTCGGCAGGAGAAAGCTCAATAGCGGCCAGGTCAACTTGCGATGTATTGGACATATCTATTTGTTGACCTTGCGTCTCTGCCTCCTTGGTTATTCCTTTGTCTTCGCCATGTGGTGGCTTTGTTTCTGGGGAAGGATTAACAACCTCCATGCCCCTAGGATAAATTTGCGACGCGGGAGTATGAGGTGAGTAAAGCCGGATATATTTCTGACCAACGACTTGCACTAGGATGTTATGGTATGGATCATGGTGTAAGGGTGATATCGTCCACGAAGGGCCTATCCATGTGTTGATGATCGGTTCAGATTTCACGTCGTCCGCTTCGATTTCATCATCCTCGTTACCAGAGGTAGATTCTGCATGATCCTGATCTTGTTCTTGATATTCATTATCCGATTTTCTTCTGTGACCATTTATCGACTTATCCTTCTTCCCTTCGGCCTGTCTCTCGAGTAATCTTTTCTCGTATACAGGCGTTCCCTGCTCCGGCTCTGGCGGATCCGTGTAGCAGTAGTCCGGTATACAAATATCTTTCCTCAGCGCGGGTATTTGCGCCAGTAAATTGTGCTGCGCCATGTAGCCCGTCTGGTCTTCCCCTCCGCCTGAATCTCCACAATCCGTTGGATAATGCCTATCACAGTCTTTTGCCTTCCCGTCCGTGTTATCACCGCCTCTCCCCATCCTCCATATATAATCCTTCACAAACTCTCCAAACGGCATGATTCTCTGTCCCCACCCTTCATCCGTATATGACCGGCCCACTTCAACGGGAACCAACCTCCGCCCGTCGTATGTCCGTTGTGCCCAGTAATCTGCAGAAGACCAGGGTCGCGTGGAGAGTGCCGGCCAGTGGTTCACTGCATTCGTTATCACTAATGGCGTGCGAATGGTGTTCATGTGTTCTGTAAATTTTTCAAGAGATGGCGCTGGGACACGGGGGACAGGATGCTCGAGATGTGGAGCTGGAGATCTGTCAGCGGGGAAAAGAGAGGGGGTCGTTAATTTTCTGCGTTTTCCCGGTGGGTGTCTTTGTGGTTGCTCGACATCAAAATGTGCACTGAATAATTTGGGGTCATTTATCAGTGATCTCGCAGTGGGAGGACTGGTCAAATATTGTAAGCACGATATTAGGCATTCAATAAGCGACTCTCTGCGCGGAGCACCAGTCATGATCAGTGCTTTGTCAAGAATATGGATGGTAGGTGATAGCCATGGGGCATCTGGGCTGATCCTCCTAAGCTCATTGTCATCATGTTCATGTTCATGTTTGTTGTGGGGAGCCTCGTTATCATTTTTCTGCTGATCTGGTGATGCTGATTGTTTGTGCTCGTCGATCTCATCGTCGTATAGATGTTTTTTTATTTCATAGCATACTTTGACAATGCTGGCATCCGTATACAATCGTCTCCAGCAAACCTTCACGTCTTTGAAGGGAAATACGCGTAGCTTTTGATCCGCAAGGGACAGAGTACCATTTGTTTCCCGGAGAAGGGAAGCAATGAGCTTTTCGGTGTCGCCACCAAAACACTCGCAGATTGGGTCATCTAGGGATGGAGATGAGATGATGCATAGCGCTGAACGGATCAGATGTTGCATTGATTGTGTTGCTGATCGAGGTGGCTGAGGAAGAGGAGGAGGAGTGGCAGCTACTAATTGATGTGTCCGAAGTTGAAGTTGGATTCACGATGATGTCCATGTGTCCAAACAAAATATATAATTTTCTACTCAATGGAAGTTAATTATTCCCCACGTACTCCAATACAGGAATCTGAACCCTTAACAAATATGTAGTAAAATATAAATTAGCTGTTCCAATACCAATATCTTGAAGAAATACAAAGGTTAAAAGAAGAAGTCTATGCAGTATTATTGGGTGAAGTTAACAATAAATCTATGAAAACCCCTGAAACGCAAAAGTTCGGATCAGGGCTCCAAACACCGTAGATAAATTACATTAATAACCATCTAACAGTCGTACAATCTTCTCAGGAATGGAATTGACCCCTTGTGCGTTGATGGCGCTGACAGGAATGGAGAAAAGCTTGCCACTCCATGCATTCTGCTTACCGCAAGGATGCTCGTGGGTGCCCTTTTCTACTGCTTCCAGATACGAACGGAGAGCGGTGAAGTTCTCTTGAGTGCATGGAAGGTCTGCTTTCGTCCCGATAACGAGCCATGGTTTGGTGTATATTGGGGGAAGACTCTTGGCTGAGACGTCCCTTCTCGACGGGACCAAGGTGGGTGGGGCAACCTGTGGCAAGCCAAAACAATCTTCAGACTGATCTGATGAGTTATGATCCAGCGGGGTCCATGAGATGAGCCGATGCTGTGTTTTTAGATTTAATTCGCGGTCTTGAAGACGGCTGTACTCGTTCAGCTCTCGCCAAAGCCCTTTAAGGGCCTGAACGGCGTCTCCTGCACTGAGATCGATGACGAATGCAAGAATTCCTGCTCGCTCGACGTGACGAAGAAATCCAAGTCCGAGGCCCTTATCGAGATGGGCTCCTTCTATCAATCCTGGGATATCTGCGATGATGAAATTCGTACGACGTGGGCACCCTGGCTTTGGCTCGATAAGAGGGCGCACAGAGTGATTATCGATGACAACAGTTCCAATCTTTGGAGAGAGAGTAGTGAATGCCCAGTTCCCAATTCGTGTCCGGCTATTGGTAATTGAACGTAGCAAAGTACTCTTTCCCGCATTCGGTAATCCGACGAGGCCCACATCAGCTAGTAATTTAAGCTCGAACTCAAGCTCCAGTTTAATACCCTTTTCGCCCCTGGTTGCAAACCTGGGCTTCGGATTTGTGTTGCTTACAAAATTCGGGTTCCCTAGCCCGCCAACACCCCCCGCAGCAAGCAAAATAGGATCTTGCATATGCTCGGATAGATCAAGATAAATTGGTGCCCTGGGCTGCGACGCAGCAAGGGCGGAGCGGCGTGCTGGTGGTAGGATCGGAAATTGTTCAGTGAAGAAATCGGACGGTTGGGAGCCGGGATAAAATACCCATCGTTCCCGTCGTTCAGACGCTGCGCGCAGTCCTTCTTCCTTTCCCTTCTCCCGGATCAACTGTGCTACAAATCGCTCTTCCTCGGCTGAAGGATCGTACCGTCCAACTTCGCGAATAACTGTCCCGACAGGTACTTGTAACAGCACATCTTTTCCCCGCTGTCCTCCTTGTGACTTCCCTTGGCCACTCCTACCATGTCCGGCTTTGATTACCCCACGTCTAGCTAGCTTGTGGAGACTAGTTTGGCCTTCAATTGCTTGTATATAAATATTTCCTCCGCTCCCACCATCCCCTCCGTTCGCTGGCCCATCGTCAATGTACTTTTCTCGAAGGAATGAAACGCATCCATTGCCCCCTGAGCCCGCATACAGAGTTAATGTGCAGCGGTCTTGGAAAACTGAACGGGAATAATCGGACGGAGAAGGATTTAGGTGATTGGTGTTTAGAGATTCCTCCCCGAAAAATTTTGTTTCACGAGATCCCGTCTCGCTGGTCGTATGCAACGTGCTGGTAAGTCGTCTGGGGACGGCAGAAGAGTGCCGCAGAAACTTGGTGGCTCTGGAAACTGTTGTCAGGCTAGACGCGGGTACAGACTTTGACGACGCGTGATAGAGAAATGGTATCAGGGTCTGTCTTAAATGCGACACGCCGCTCCCCCAGTTCATTTTCCTTTATAAACTCGTCTTGAGTACGAGCGACCCAGAGTTAGATTAGAATTGATACCCCAGCCCTGGACGCGCAATGATGGGTGGTGCGATTCATTGGAGTCGATTTCATAGCTTGAGCACTCGTAATTAGCCTCATAACCGCCTAAACGAACTGTGAGATGATCTTCAATACAGTTTCATCTTCGCTATCCGATAGAGAAGACGTTAAAGATTTCCAGAGCTGAAGGTTCTTGTCCACGTGACTTGGCTTGGAATCTTGGAAGGCTTCTAGAATGTTGACATAACAACAGGAACTTGGCGAACGAACATCTCTATAAGAAACCTGTCCGACTGGTGAGACAAATTTTCATGTTGTTGTCAGTTTTAAAATTTTTATTGTTTTCATCTTAAATACAAATACAGACGATGTATTATTCTGCATTGGGTGCAAGCTGAAACTTTTCTCCTATGTGTCAATGGACACTGCTACATAGTTTTTGCTGCTCTGGCAACAGGCTTCAATTGAATTCGGAATACAATAAATTGACGGCCTAAGGGGGTCTAGTTCCTCGTACGCTGTAGCCTCAATATTGTATGTTTGGATGATCGGCAAGATGTTCGAAGTCGCGCTGGATACTGTACCGGACCTGGCCCAGGATGAAGGGACGGAAGAAATGAGAGTGACGTTGACATATTGGGCTATGACCGATTGTTTGCGCGGGAAATGAAAGGATATAAGGTGTTCCATCGCCGTTGGGAACATGTTAATGGAATGCAATTAGTGTAGAAGTTATTCGCCTTTGGGTTTAGTTTCATTTTCAATTATCATTGTTA